CAAGCAATAGTTGTTATAAGCTTAACCATTATTGTATCTCTTGAGTTGTGTTATTAAATTTAACAAAATAATATTTGTTATGTTTTAACTGTTTTAATGCAAACAATTTTAAATATTCAAATTCGCACTCTTCCTTTAAACTATATATAAAACCTGACAACAATGTCATTTGATAAGTTTTATTTATTTTTATAACATAATTATATATGCTTAGTTTGAATAAAATAATTGTTATATTTATACATTAGGCCTTGTTTAATTCCTATTTTTTTCAAAATACATTTTTTCTTTCTTCTTTTCATCAATATTTTTTTTCATAAAATAATATTGCACGTAAATTCAAAACTATTCTTTATTTTTTAGTCACACGTTTTCCATTAAGTCACTATTCCAAAATGCATTTTTTTTGCAAAAAAAAAAAAAAAAAGGTATCAAAAGGACTCTTAATATTTTATTATGGCAGATGATAGATGGTCAATGGTTGCTCGTGCTGACTCAAACTCTTGGATTCGCCACTGCTTATTTATATTTCATTATTAATTTTCATTTGGCAAGAAAAGGGTAATAGGGCTTTTTACTCATGCCCACGATCTTCTTATTGTTGACTTGCCTCTTTTTCTGTCCTCGTTTTTTTTTTTTTTTTTTTTTTTTTTTTTTAAAAAGCTTATGAGTTTGTTTATTAAATAAACTAATTCATTAGTGATTTCAAAATTTTTAATTTTACGATTTTAAGTCATTCTCCTACAAAAATGTCTTTAATAGATAGTTTACACTTAAAAAAGTTGGTAAAATGAAGTTGAGAAATAATTTTTGGAGCTTATTGAATCAAAAAAATTATGACTTGATATTTTTCTTTCAATACTCTTTGCGTACAAAATTTGCATCATATTAATAATTTTGCTTTAGTGCATTAATATGAATGGACATATATACATTATGCACGTGCAAGGTAATAAAATCTATTACTTAATTATAAGTATTTTATAGCCAAAGTTAAAAATTTTACCTTATAAACATTTTAATTTTTATCAAAAATAAATAACAGCAGGTACAATCTTGATCAATGGATGAACAATATTACTTTTTTAGTCAATAAGATCCCAATAATTTTTTAGTTCAATAAGATCCCAAAATAGATATTATATTATATGTTTGGAAACGCTAACCACAAAAAGAAGATAATATATTTTATTTTATTTTTTATTCAATATTATTTAATCATGTTTGGTACAGATGACTTAAAATCCATCTTTTTTCATATCCATTTTCAATCACACGTCCTATTAATAAAATAATTTTACACGTTGATCAATAATTTTTTATTACTTTTTAATCACATAACTATTATATTTGGAGAGTAATTAGCACAAAACGCCATCCTTACCTTTTTTTGGCATTTTTACCCTTACATTCACCTTTTATTATGAAATCATCATTTTCACCAAATTTTTCGTGTAAAATAACAAATATATCCCTTATTTAAATAAAACAGTAAAAAAGAAAAGTTAAAGAATAAATTGCAATTATAGTCCCAAGCTTTTTAAAAAAGTGCAAATGAGTCCAAATAAATTATTAAAAGGGTAATTAGCACAAAACGTTCATACCTTTTATTTTTTTGACATTTACATCCTTATTGTTATATTTCATTGCAAAAATAATTATTTTCATCATTTTTCTCAATTAAAAATTGTAAAATGACAAATATACCCTCTTCTTTAAATAAACAAAAATAAGAAAAAGAAAAATAAAGAACAAATTGCAACTACACTCCCAAAATGAAATAAATAATTAAAAAATTACTTTATTTTTAATTATTTATTGGAATTTTATGTGTACTTTTTTTTAAATTTTGGAAATATAGTTACAATTTGTTCATTATTTTTTTATTTTTGTTTATTTAAAGACAAGGGTATATTTGTCATTTTACAGTTTTTAATTGAGAAAATAAATGAGAATAACGATTTTCGTAATTAAATATAAAATAAGAGTGAAAGTATCAAAAAATGAAAGGTATTTTGCACAATAATAATGAAAGGTATGGACATTTTGTGCTAATTACCCTTTTAATGATTTATTTGGATTTATTTGCACTTTTTTTTAAAAATTTTGGGAGTATGATTGCAATTTATTCTTTTACCTTTCTTTTCTTTTTTATTGTTTTATTTAAATGGGAGGTATATTTATCATTTTACACGAAAAATTTGATGGAAAAGATGATTTCCACAATAAAATGTCAAGGTAAGAGTAAAAGTACTAAAAAATGAAATGTATGAATATTTTGCACAATAATATTGAAAAATAAAAATATTTTGTGCTAATTATCCATATTTGGAGTATCATATTAAAGTGTTAACTTTATTGAGAGAAGTAGTACAAACTCTTATAAGGTAGTCTATATTTTATCTTTACTCAATATGTGATTTATTTCTTATTATGTCCCGCAAGATATGGCTCTTTTGAATAAATCAATCTTGAATTTTATATTTTTATTTTTTTATAGTCTTAATAGGATCGAATTGTTCATTGAAATTTAATGAATTCCGATATCATGTTAAGACTCGAAATTTCATCTTAAAATATTAATATTATTAAGAGAAGTAATCCAAACTCTTATAAATTAATCTATATTTTCATCTTCACATAATGTGGTATTTATCCCTTAATAGTAACAAACATTTTTGAACTTTTACAATTTTTAATAAGATTTTTATGATTAAATCTGTGAAAAATTATTCAAATTTATGAAATTCATTAAAATTTATAATATTTTAAAACTAATGAAAATCTCAATTGAGACACTTCCATAATTCCATTAATTTACTCATGATTTTTTTTTTTTCAAACTTATCTCCATAATCAAAACTATTTCTTGATCAACGTGACCCAAATCTAATATTAATTAAGCATATTACAAATTTTAGTTGAAAACTTAGTATTGTCAACACATAATCTATATTTGACTCTAAATTTAACGGACAGGATAAAAAACATGAAATTGGGTAAATTTAAATCTATATATAGATTAATGCCACGGATTAACATAAATGACTAATAATAAATAGAGTCATACTTTGATGATGATACCTTAGACTAATGCCATGGATTAATCATAAATGATTAATAATAAATATTCGAAAGTCAAACCATCTGTTACTATTTTGCAGGCACATGCAGCATCAACCATTCTAAGTTTTAGTGAAAATTACGTCCTTGAAGCTTTAACGCTTTACTTGAATGGCATTGCACACAAACAGCTTTTCCTTCTAAGGTACAATTAAGGAAGAAAATAAAATATTTTTGTATAAATATTCATGGAAGTTTATACTTATGTGTTAGAACACAACCATACTTCTCCAATAATCTGCTTTTGTTATATAAATTTCAGAACTCCAAACAAATGGTGCAAAATAGTTTCATAAGTACCTTAGCTTCCGTTACCGATTCACATCAGTTACATCATTCTGTAATTGTTAAGGGTTATATTTTATTTTACTTTATTTGTATACTAAGTTTATAAAATTGTATTTACAGAAGCACTTTTAAAAATACTATGATACAATTACTCCGTACTAGAAAGCTATCTTGATGAATGTTATTGACAAGTCTAATTGCATGCTTCGTGTCAAAGCCATGAAATGCATTATGACGATTGCAAGAGGACTTCAAAGAGGATGCCCAACAGGTAAATAACAACAAACTTAGTAATAGTTGTATTTCTTATTAAATTTAATACATTATTTTTTATTATGTAGTAATCAATTATTCTTTCATTGATTTATTAGTTCTTACCCCAATCCTTTATTCTTTATAAACAGCACATGTTCTTCTTTTTCTTTCTTTCTTTCTTCTTCTTCTTATTATTTTTTTAAACAACTTATAAATATCTTTCACGTTTACATAATGAATTTCTCGATAATTTACACAAACTTATTTTTAACATTAACCAACTAATGTGCAACACACGTTCACCACACTAGTTCTAATAGAATATCATAGTACAAAAGGGAGAGGGGAGAGGAAGAAATAGGATCAAGTATAACCTTGAAAGTAAAGAGTACTTGTAGATGAATAGTAAAAGGCAAAAGAAAAGTAATGAAGCCCACGTTTAGTTTTGATAAAGTTCAAAAATTTTAGTACATTATCGGGCTAGTCGGCTAGGGCGGCTCGAAAAAAACTCGAGCCCGCCCTACTCGAGGCTCGGAAGAATCGAGCCAAGGCTCGAGTCGAGCCTCATTTTGGAGTGCCAAGCAAAGCCCGAGCCGGCTCGGGCTTACAATTCTATATATATATTTTATTTTATTTTATTTTATTTTTTTATTTTATTTTTTTTAAAGGCAGCAAGCTCGGGTCGAGCCTAATTTTTTTGGCCGGCTCGGGTCCGAAAAAAGACTCAATCATTTTGCTCGAGCCGAGTCCGAGCTTAAAATTTTTGTTCACGAGCCGGCTCGACTTGTTGACATCCTTAGGGGAGAGGAAGAAATAGGATCAAGTATAACCTTGAAAGTAAAGGAATAGTAAAAGGCAAAAGAAAAGTAATGAAGCCCACGTTTAGTTTTGATAAAGTTCAAAATTTTAGTACATTTTAACAAATACCATCTGTTAGCCTCCTTATTTCTGAGCTTCCATCCCTTGGGACTGTTTGCAAATTTGCTTCCTTTTAACCCAGTGAGCTCTATCATGCTATTCTTGAGATCCCCATGAAAATTGTAAAATAGATAAGACTCAAAAACTTTTATAAGAACACAATCGGTGGTTCAAGGGTTTGAAGCAAAAATATAGGCGTAGAAGATAGCACTGATTGAACTGTAAAAAAGATAAGACTCAAAACTTTTATAAGAACACAATCGGTGGTTCAAGGGTTTGAAGCAAAAATATAGGCGTAGAAGATAGCACTGATTGAACTGTAAAAAAGATAAGACTCAAAACTTTTATAAGAACACAATCGGTGGTTCAAGGGTTTGAAGCAAAAATATAGGCGTAGAAGATAGCACTGATTGAACTGTAAAAAAGATAAGACTCAAAACTTTTATAAGAACACAATCGGTGGTTCAAGGGTTTGAAGCAAAAATATAGGCGTAGAAGATAGCACTGATTGAACTGTAAAAAAGATAAGACTCAAAACTTTTATAAGAACACAATCGGTGGTTCAAGGGTTTGAAGCAAAAATATAGGCGTAGAAGATAGCACTGATTGAACTGTAAAAAAGATAAGACTCAAAACTTTTATAAGAACACAATCGGTGGTTCAAGGGTTTGAAGCAAAAATATAGGCATCGAAGATAGCACTGATTGGACTAACAGAATACATAATACGTCGGCCAGGAGTCCGTCCATCGATGCACTGCCTAATATTTTGTATTAAACTGTCATATAATCAAAACTGAGAACCAGAAATCAGATACGCATAGTCTGATCTTATCAATCCATGCCTCAAAACCGAATTAGCTAAGAATTGTAAATAAAAAATGCCAGTTATCCCGACCACATGCCTTCCCAAATCTAGCTTCAAGATAGCATTACCTACTTGGAGTTTTCTATCAACTGAGTGGATCATTTATTGTGCCAAAAGAAAGTTGTCACTCATCTAGCGTCCCGGAATGAACAATCTTTGATCAGGAGAAATAGTACCACAATAACACAAGCCGTAGATTAATTGAAACTGAAGCCACATACTAAATCTTCCAAACTTACAAGTAGAAAAGGCACAGACCTGGATATCAAGGGGGACAAAGATCACATAATTTCCTATATGTATGACTACAGAAAATACTACAACATTCAAAGCAAAGCAATAAAATTCAAAGCATACCATTGCAGATCTTTGTAAGCACTGACAAGCTTCCAAAGTCATTTTACAACCAGAAAGAACTCACTGCGCAAGTATGTTACTAAACAAAATAAACTTTTTTTGCACCCCTGCCTGCTACTTCATACGGGAAAGTAGAATTATAGATATGCTCAACCAATTCCTCGATCATCAAGCTAAGTTTAGCACCATAGGACGCGATCAACTGTTGTCGATACCCATCTCCCTTCGTCTTAACTCCAAAGACATGCGTTCATTCTCAAGTTTCATCCTCTCAATTTCCATCTTCGTCATCTCCAGTTCTCTGTCCTTTTTCTTGCAAAATCTCTGCCATTTGAACCGCTCTTTCTCGAGTTCCAACATTTGTGCTTCAATATGTAGCCTTTGTTCTTCTAATTGAAGACTACGATGACTCAGCCACTGCTTTTGTGACATGTTCGCTTTCATGCTTTCAGGTAGCACTTGACTCACATCAGCATCGGTAATATCTGGCTGGAAATTGAAGGTTTTGTTGCAATCTAGAGAATTAAAAGAACTTCCGAAACTAAATTCTTCATGATTCTGACATTGTTTTAACCTCTTCATAGAGTTTCCTGGTATTTCCTGTACCCTACGATCCCCATTCAAAACATGATTATCTTCATATTCATCATGACCATCCAATTCAGCTTCTTGATCAACTTCATCATTATCATCCTGCAGGTGCCTTTTCACATCATTTTCATCATGATCATCTCCACTTCTAAGTGCTAAGCGCAAAGAACGCTGCAAATCAGGATCAGGGGGAAGGTGCAATCGATTTCCATTATGATATGAACACATCTCTTCATAGTGCAAATGTTTTGAGCTTAGAATCTTTCTAACTTCCTCCTTTGCTTTCTCAGAGATGTGATCCATCATATCCAAAAGTGTTGGATTCTCAACAACCTCACAAGAAGTTCCTCTACCTAGGATCTCGTTAAGTCTTTTGTACCTTTTGTTAAGGTCATTAAATTTATCCTCACATTGTTGAGGTGAAACAAAATGACTCCTTTCGGCCATGACTTTGGACACTGATTTCCACTTCCCTTTTTTATGTAAATTTGCAAATTTCCTTCTCCCACCACTACAACCATATTCAGTGGCTGCCTCCTCACTAATGTAAGAAACAGCAGTAATTAATAACCGGACCATAGAGTCAGTCCATTTCACACGTTGCCATCGGGATGCCCTCTTTCCTCCAATTGGATCATTACGACCATCAGTGGCATCTTCCGTTAAACTCGGCTCATCCTCATCACTCGCAGGTTTTACCCTCTCCCCTTTGTTGTAGTCTGCAAAGGAAATTGTCTGTTCACAATCTTGTGTGTTTCCAATTGTAAGCAAAAAATTCTCATGACTAGTGGGACGAGCCATTAAGGACCCCTGTCGAGGATGAGAACTATGTTGTTGATGGAGTGCAAGGGGGTGCTGCTGCTGCTGATGAACTCGTACCGGCCCTTGCAAATTAAAACCTCCATAAGAACCATTACCTTGCAACATATTTCCGGGTGATAAATCCCCCTCCATCATTTGTTAAAAACAGAACTTTTTCTGATCAAAACCGCAAACCCATTCACTTTGTATACAAATTTCACTGTAAAAAGTTATTTAGCAAGATTTCAGATCTTCGAAATACTTAAATTTAGAAATATGATTAAACCTACAAAGCCACCTTTCATTTAAATCTCTTCGGCATATCCAATTCTTCCTTACTAAAATTTCTAGATTATCATTTTAAAGCAACATAAAAACTAAAATTATCCACGCAAAATACTCAAATATAATTCTAATTTCCCAAATATGACCCATAGAAAGCTACCTTTCAAAAAAAAAATAATAATAATAACACACACACACACACACACACACACACACATATCAATTAACACCGATCATACAGAAATTAAAAGAAAAAAGCCTAATCACCAAAAACCCATCAAAATAATTCACATTTTAGCAATAAAAAAATTAAAAAAAGTACTTACAATAAGCTGTTTACTCACATAGGAAAACCAGACTCTGCAGCTAATAATAAACCTCCAACGGGGGTTCAAGATAGTATACAGCCCACAACTTAAATATCTCAATATAGCCTTATATGGGGAAGAAAAAATGGCAAAGAAATGTATATGAATAGAATATGTTGAAGATCAGATGCAACGTAGGAGAGAATTTGGAGGGGCCCACATCGGCCTCTTATCTTTTTCATATCGGACGTACTGAAAACACACGCATCTTCCTCAATAAGGCTGAAAAGGCTTTTTTTTGTGTGCCTTTTGGTCATGAGTTCGATTTCTTATATTAGTACTTTTTCGATCAAGTCTGTTGTACCGGACTTGTCCAGTGCAATTTACCTGACTAACTTGATTTATAAGATATTATGTTAGCCCGAGAACTTATCTAGTGCACACTCAAAGGGTAACGGCTGCGAATTCCCCTGTCATTTAAAAGAGGAAAAAAAAAGATTTGTGTCAAATGTATAAAGGGTTGTCTATCTCTACGATTTATCAACAATAGTGCTACACTTACAGGCAAAATTTATACAAATATTTTACATAATACACATAGCAGTGGGGCTCACCTCCATAAAATATTCACATGAAACCCACTTCACGTGACTGCCCTTTAAAACATCTGTAAAATTATTCTCTGTACACAGAGCATTTTTCATTTACAAAAGTTAACAATCTTGTAACCTAGTAATTTATTTTTAATTATACGTTCGCTCAATAAAAAATTACTTTTCATAAATTAAAAAAAAAAAGAAAAAAAGATCACATCAAACAAGCTAAGCTCTAACATCACAAGCTTCTCGACTGGTCAAACCAGCATTGAATTGCTCGGATTCGTAGATAATCTTACAAGAATTAGTTATTAGTTTGTTTGTACAGAGGACCCTCCAGAATACTCATATGGATGAAGCTGAGTAAAATATAGTAAAAAAATACTCACTTACCTCCCTATTGTGTGTGTTCCGGAGGGATTCACATGTATACACAGCACTACCCATCTCATAGCCCATAATATAAAATTCTTAAAAGTTCTATTTATTTATCTTTTAATTGCTTTTAATAATATTATTTAATATCTCGAGATTGGTCTATACCACGGACCGAGCTAGATATCTCACGCGAATGACCGCATGATTGACATAATATACACACATAAGGGTCGGGATTGTTTTATTCATGAGGATTCATGTCGATCATGTGAGGGTGCGATCACCCAGAGTATCAATGGCGCGGGTCGTTTGACTTTTCCCTTTTAATATATAATCGCATCTATGCTAATGAATTTTAGGAACTATTTCAATTGACATTTTCTGGACAAAAAAATAATGAATATGATATACAGTGAATCACATCAATCTGTTTCATATTTTTCAACTTAATAGTATTTTAATTCTCCTACTTTTTGACTAAAATATACAGTTATATGTTAGCCAGATAAAACTGGGAGAATTTTAACTTCAAGAAACGTGTATTGACAAACCATTGACTAGCATCATCTTATGACACCTTTCTAGAAATGTTCCAATTTACAAAAGATTAAACATTATATTGAATCGATACTATATTCTCTCTAAACTAAACAGTTATAGATGACTTGATAATTTCAATTCGAATCAACCCGTCCAGTATATTTTCCACGTTCATCGACCTTGTTCTTTGGAAGATGTATCTCGTGTCTGGTACTTCATGGTTTCATTCAACAAGAACTCTAAACATTAATATTGAACTGATCAATTGGGGAAAATTTTTTTAAATAAAATCAAGCAATCCCAATTCGATCTAGGACCCTTTATCATTTACTCTTTTCAAATCAAATATTAAATCAGTTTTTAAACATTGATTCCACCATCCGCGATCCAAATCACTCTTGAAAGGGGATTGAATTTAGAAATAAAAAATAGAAGATAACATCTAACGCACCAATTCATATGCTAGAGATGCAATGACTCCAAGGCTTCTATCCAGACTTACCAAAAATGACAATTTGACGTACAATAAGATTGAATTTTTTTTTTCTCCCAAAAAATTTAATTCCATTCAACCCATGTTATTTCTAGCTCGTTAACCTAAATAATATCTTTAAAGTAATTCATTAGATTTAAAAAATTCTAAAAAATTTAACTGCAAGAAAATTTTACTCCAAAATTTACATATCTAATGTGAACCATCCAAACCCAGGACGACCAACCTGTATTCGGCCTTGTATAGGCCAGGCTCAAACATAAGTCCCCAATTCCAACAAACCATACTAAGCCTCCATTTGTCTTCCATTAAAAAGAATATTTTTGAGAACAACGAGTTTTAAAATAGTGATTTTTTGAAGAATGTTTGATTAAAAAGTTTGAACTTTTTATCGTATGAATGTGTGGTTGAAAATGAATTTAAGAAAAAACAAAGTTTTGATTCAATGGAAGACAAGCCGGGGCTAAGTTGCATGCAAATAATGACGCAAAAAGATTGAATTCATCAAAACACACAACACAATTTCAAGCAGTGTAAATCTTGGTGAAACAAATAAGTACGATGAAATGATTTTCGGGCTATGACGGAACATACACTTCTTTTTCCATTGCAAAAATACTAGAATCACGAGCAAAATGGAAGGGGAAGGATTGGGGTTCGGGTTGGGGTGTGTGAGAATAAATGAACAAGGTAAGTACGAATCTATCTACGCCTGTGACTTGAGAAACTTGGAGAACCAAAAGATTGTGTTCCTCGAAAGTTCTTGCTGGAAGAATCCATTGACCCTTTGAAAGAAGCATACGCTGCTTTGGCTGATTCTGGAACCAAGTCCAGTGGAATTGACTCCATAAAGCATGCTTTGTTAATTCTTGTTCTTTCAAGCTCGGCTTCAAGTAGTTCAGAACTATACTGCTGGGCAAGAGCCTAAGCAAACAAGAAAAGAGCAAAGGAAACATGTAAGCCAACAACTTAATTTTCTTAGAAGTAATTGATTAAATAAAGCATAGTCCCAGCTATAAATAAAATAAAGCATGGTCCCAGCTATGAATCATTGATGGAGAGGGAAAATACAATAACACCAAATCATGCAGATTTCAAAATGGCCAACTGTAATAATGAAAAGAGTACTGCATGGCAAAAAATTAGAAGCCCTTCCTAAGAAGCACCAGATTAGTATAGCATGTTTAGGAAGCAGCATTCGACAGTATCAAAAGTATTGAAGAAGAAGAAGAAGAAGAAGAAGAAATAGTTAAAATCAAGAACTATTTTTACCAACCATGCACTTAAAAGAAGGAATTAAGATCCAGTAACAGCAGAGCCAGAGTAAATGGTCAGACACGGCATTAGAAGTTTAAAAAGTCTTACGATCAAGTCATCTGGTGATACATTCATTCCTGTTTGCCTATCATCTGCGAGCACGTCATCACTTCCACGGGTAGGCCGTCGCTGATGACTCGGAGTCTCTACAGACTCTGTCACACTTTCTGTAGCTTTCTCCAACAGAACGCCTTGTAAAGACTTAAGAGATTCCCTTGCATCGTGAGTGAAGTACGGATTCAATATGGTCTCGAAATATTCAAGCTACAGAACGTTCAATGAAAACAATTAGCTATCACAGAAAACAACTGAAAAAGAAGTGCCAGAAAATGCAACTTCCCCCCTCGTGCTTCACATGAGTAGCCCCACTTTGAGTGGGTGATAGATCAGACTTCTATTCTATTTGAATTTCAAACAAGAAAAAGTTAATCATTCTCCGATTGTATCATTTTTCGTATCAATTTTTTACTTTTTCTCCTTGTTGCTTTCCTTTTTATTGGTCCTATGCATATAATTTATTTATTTATTTTTTTATGGGGCTTTGAACTCCATTGCATTTTTTTCAACAGTTGATATAAAATTTTCTACAAATAGAAAGCAACAAAAGAAGCCAATTAAACAATCTTGTCCACCATTTCAGAAAATGAATTTATCCATCAGCTTTCAAGAAATTTGACTCACATCAAGTTCATTGCAAAGCACATTTTAGCACAAGTTCATTGGTTGTGCAGGGACTAAGGGTAATTACTGTGTAACATCATAAGGTCAAGAAATTTAGGCCAGTTAGCTAGTGCCTATACATGAACCAAAGCTAGTCATTCGGCTCAGACCCTAACAGCAAGGGTACTAGTTGGAAGCACGCAATCTGTTTCCACCAAAAGTGTCAGAGTCCTGGAGAAAATTCAAGTGAGGAAAGTGAAGCATCTACTCACCTCAAGCATGAGCTGACAAAAGCCATTCATGTCCAATGCCTTTAGGTTTTTGGTTTCATATTCATGGAAAAGACCAAGAAAAGTATCGATGAGGCCTTCAACAAGAATACCAAGAATCTTATCCAATTGAGGTTTACAACCTCCAAAAACCTGGTATGCAGAACAAACTTCATGTTAAAAAACCCATTGGCTAAAGAGTACACAATTTGAAATTTGTCACTTTTCTAGAAGGTATCCTCGAACTAAAGAATGGGAACGGATGTTCTTATCAATAATCAATAATGTTCTCATCAATAATCAATAAATGTACAAAAGTTAGAGAAGTCCCTGACATATATATGCCAGAAAACAAAAAAATGAGCCTTATGAGCCATGAGTACCTCTGCATGCACAGATACTAGAGAATGCAATAGCTCCACAGATGAATCTCGGACTCCCTGAAAGGGTATATTGTATCAGCAAAAGAATTCAATGTCTTTGAGATACCAAAAGAATTGTGATCAGAAACCGATTCCTCACTTTAACAGCAGGTGCTGATCCCCATTGCACTCCAGCATCCAACAAGTAGTTTACAGCAGCTGTTCTAATCATATTTGTCTGGAAAAAGAATGCAAACAAAGGTGAATAAAGGCTCAACATATGGACGGCATGATGAAGGTCCCTTGAAAAGTTTGTTTAAGTTAAAATTTACAATAACATATTCAAGAACAAGAGAAAGAATAAACTCATATTTGCACTTATTTGAACTTTTTCCCTGTAAGAACGATCCCATCATAAAAGTTTATTTATTATTTAAAAGCTAGAATCATGCAAGATCATCAAGTCATCAATTTTCACAGTTTGAAAATTGTAAAATATTAAATCCAAAAGAAATATCCTGCAAACAAAAATAAATCTTTTTAAAACTAATATATCAACTCAAGAAATTTGTATGAAACATTGAGGGACAATGGTTAACACAATTGATTTGAGACTTGTTTCAGCATTCTCAAGAAAAAAGAATAGAAAAACTACCCATCTATTTAGCTACATCCAGAAGAACAAAATGATATTGATTCGTGACAAGTATTGCATACATTCACCATTATGTGGTCCTCAGACAGCATCTAAGGATGCTGCCGGGAAAGTAGGCTGCCATAAAACTGGACCACTTCCTAACATTGAGATGGAGAAGCAAAAAGAGGAAGACTGTCAGCGGCCACAATTCAATGCTCTCCAAGTTTTTAAATTCTCCCAGATGTTTAATATAAAAAATTATACATCTATGCGTCTACTATTGCAAAAGGTGTCAAAACTAAGACTCATCAGTCATGAGACAACAAAATAAAGAGGAAAACATAATGTAAGACAGTTTTCCTTTTTGCACTTCCCCAGATTTATCAAAATCTGTCACTTACATTCCTCCCTTTTTTTTTCGTGCAATATCCTTGCACTTCAGGTGTGGGCATTTTCCCTCTCATATACCATTCTCAGTTCATTGCGATTAGGGGACAAAAGAGGTTGATGGGAAACAGGAAATGTATTAAAGCCCCATCCTGTGTAGATGCCAGTTTTGTTTTCAATTACATTTACTTCTCTATGCAAACTTTGATGCAATATTTATAAGCGTAGATATTTGACATGAAATAGAATGACACTGTCATCTATAGAAATATTTACTTTTTGCCTACACTAGTGTATTTGAGTTCCACTACACTAAGACGAGAGAAGTCGGGATTTTTGGCATCGTTCTTTCTTCGAGAGTTCATGTGAAACTGGTGACTAAGCTTTCGCCTAGACAATTCAACTATATATCATGAAATCCATCCTTCATCATGGTCTCGTCCAAACAATACACTTCATTTGTGTAAGCTACTTGCAGTAAGCTTTAGTTGTAACCAAAATCCATAAAACTAAGCGGAATATCTTTGAAGTCTTCGAAATATATGAAAATAAACACAAGAGACCTTCTTAGAAGTGATACTGCTACCAGGTAAAACGTGTCTTCCCATTATTACAGAACAACAGCCTCTTTTAAGTAACTAAGCAAAGAGTTTAGCATACCTTAGCAAGAGTGTACTGTGCAAGGACCTTCTCTTCAAGTCCAGAGAAAGACGTAAACAAATCTTGCATGTCACTGTCCACTTCTACTTTTCCTCTACATTGGCAAAGAAAAATGACATTCTAAAGATTACATACAGAAAACATAAAGAAACCAATGCAAAGATTGTCCCTTTATCTAGATGATTAAATTAGTTACATAACGAAGTCTTTTAATTTGCATCCTCAACAAAAGTTGGCTAAGTTTTAGTTCAGGAAGTTGAATGGAAAGTCTGATCTCCCTTTCTGTTGCTCCTTTTATATCAATATCTTCTAGGATGAGAAGAGGGAAGTAGAGGGGTGTTCTAAAAGAACTGGAACCCTCTTCAAGTTTTTAGGCCAGCAGAAAAGTAGTATTTTCAAGAACTATCATTCCAAGTAACTTATCATCATGTAATAACAATCAATATAGCCATTAATATAAGCATTATTCCGTAGACTTCACAATAACTGATAGCTAGAAGACACAGCAGATATGTATTCTATACGTGAAAGTGTTGTGAAACAGTCTACATACCTAGATTGCAGCCAAATATGTTTGTATTTGTGATATAATTCACGAGCAAGTTCTTCCTTGCAATATCCAATATTACTCAAAACCATCAGCATCTGTTGATGAGGATCAACAATGCTTCCAGGAACAGGATCAAATGATTTTTCCAGTACTTCATGAGCATATCCATTTTGGAAATGTGGACTTTCTCTGTCCAATCTATTCTGGGTAAGCTCGGCGCCAATGTGTTCCAGATGACCTGTTTAACATGTCCACAAGATCCATGTGTTTCAATTTAAAATGAGGCAGAAAAGACGAAGAGGAAAACCGTAAAAGAGGCAACAATTCGTCATCCTTCATACCAACAAAATCCAATAAACAGTTCAAAAAGGCAACCCTGACAGATTCTTCAATTTCTTGAAGCTGTCCAAAAATATCTTCTGACTTTGTAGATTCACTTCTTAATGACTGGATCATCCTGAAAGAATAAATGCACAGTTAATACGGAATAAAACACCTAGCCAACTGCTTACGAAGGTAAAAATGAGTAACTTCAGATATCTTTAATTCTTCTATCCATATTGATAAGTTTTTTCCTGGTACTTTCTTGGGGAGGTGGAATTTGCTCTTTGTAGCATCCTGTTATTGACAAGTATTGATAGCATTGCAGGGGAACTAGGTCTTCTGACTTGTTGTTCAATAGGAATGGTAAATTTCTAGGAAGTACGGTGAGGTAGAAGATTCTCAGTTGTAAAGCAAGCATGGACTCAATGGTGGTTTACCCTTGATTCCATTCCGTTATTGGATATACTAAGAACATATAAAATATAGCTAGCATGAACTTGGCTTGGTATTTAGTGAATGGGTTGCACTGGCATTGGAGTTAATTCAATAAATCTATAATCAAAGAAAATGCAGCAGGGATGAACTAGAATAATTTCTAGGTGAGGCCAAAGTAAATTTCCTAGATTATTATGCATAGATCTCTTGTCCAATATAGGTTTTAATTATTGGATTGAAGCATCATTAACCAGTCAAGAGTGGTCCCAGTATGAAGAAGTCAAAAGAATAGCCAAGTCCAAAACATAATGAGAAAATTACAGCTGCCACAAGAGTCCCCGATCTATGAGTGATGAAGAACATAAGTCCCAAAACATTTTTTTTTTTGCCGTGTATGGGTCCTCAATCTTTTCATTTTAGTAGCATTTGGGTTACAGTAGACAGTATCGGTCCATTTGACAGTTAAAAGGTCGTATTTTGTTAAAAGGGCAATTTCACCGTACTTTTTAATTAAAACTAAAGAATTGTGAATAAAATAAACAGAAAAAAAAATTAAATAAATAACCTTCCCACCACCAACACCCTTCTCAACAAAAAATGCCATCCAGCTTAATGTCAATGATGACAGTGATCACATATGGTGGAACCTTTAATGGAGTTACTGGTTAATTGTGGAATGATATGGAGATGAAAGTGTTTTTTTTTTTTTTTTTACCCCTGGGGAGAGAGATGGAAAGAGATTTAGAGAAAGACAAAAGCATGCACCTAGAAATTTCTCCCCGGAAAATCAAGAGATATCATTAATGAACACTAGTAAAGTTTGAGATCTCTGTTGCCTATAGGGTCCGACGTCTGATTAGTGAACAGTAGAAATTGTGCCTAAATAATGTAGTAACTTAGCATAAAATGAGATATCTAAATTTCTGTTGATTATTGTTTTAAATTGCTTAGTAATTTTTAATATAGAAGAGCTCTATATTGCTCTTATGTTTATACTTGGACACACACTCCTTGCATTAGCCATGGTAAATGGGGAGAGCAGAAGGACTAAAGGTGGAGGGAAGTTCTTTCCCTTTCCTTCTCTTTTCTGTATCTTTCATTCAAATTAAGTGTTCAGTCATTTTACCTCTCTGTTCTTTTCACTCATTTCACCTCTCTTTTCTTTATTTTTATCATTAAATTAAGCGTTCACTCATTTTACTTTTTCTTTACTTTTTCATTAAAATTAAGCCTTCGCTCATTTTACCCCTCAAAAAATAAGACATATGATGCACGTTTGACTTTTTAATGGTCAAATACATGAAAGAAATCCATTAGGGACCCAAGTGTACAGAAATGAAAAGTTAGATCCACAGCGAAACATAAACACAGTTGGGATCCTACTTGCTACAGTTCACATAGGTTCAGGATCCCAACTCTAATTTTCTTTAACGTGTTGTATGCCAAATACTTTTTGTTCTGTTTGGGACGAAAATTTGTAATTTTGTAAAAGAATTTTCCTCATGTAATGATCATAGAAAATTATGGGTGGATAGGGAAAATTGCACAACTGACCCACTAATTGGGTCACCAGTTATTCATCATGGTAGCACAATCAATCTCCCATGACAGAAAGCATCGAAATCTATGTTAGGTTAAATCATTGTGTAGATGTTGCCACATGGAAGATTGTAAATAAAGATGTAAGGGAGAGTGTAAACATAGCATCACTAAACTGGGTTTGCTTCCCAACACGAGCTAGTGCAAAAAAATTTGAAGTGAAGCATGTTTCCATTAGGGCCACAGGACAGTTTAACGAAGATTTGAACAATTTCTGCCACTGGGACTGGGAACTAATTGGGCAACTAAAATAAAAAGGTTGAGCACCAACTTGTTCCTTTCTAAGGTTGGGAATCAACTTGCTACTGAAGAGGTTGGGGACCAACGGCGGTGCAGTTTTCCCTGGAAATTAGGGGAAAGACTACTTCTCTGATAACCCTACATAAACATATGCTGCTGAACAACAGTACTCACAGGTTGCTGATCGCATAAAACCTTACCCTGAGCCAAGAAATTCATCCACCAAGTGGAGCACATAGATGTGCCTTGACGCAGAACTACTGAAGCTGTGCTCTAAGATTTAATTTCTTGGAAGTAACAGTCTAATAAATGTTATCAACCAGTCCATGGAGGAGTTCAAGAATAAAACATTTTTAAAAACTTTCTATTTATGAATATTACAGTAAATATTGTTCGATTCATACGTAATTGCGTAATGTAATGGACCTTCAAGTAATATCATATTTGTTTTCTTAGCATAGAAAAGAAATGTTATGCAAATCAGACGAAAGTATTTTTTCTTTAACATTTAAAAGTTCATCGTCTAAGGAGCTTCAGCTTAAATATAGAAAGTATGAAGGTCAGACTGCTCCTTTTACAGCAGAAATAGATTTCATTAATATAACATAGATTTAAAACTCACAAGTTGATCTGATCCATTGCCAATATCATAATTGCACGGAATGCCAGAGGTAAAGAAGAGATAGTGTATGGTGATTTATTCCTTTCCAATTGGAGGTGCTGCTTCCTTTCCTTCAAAAGCTTGGCATGCTCTGGATACTTCCTTTATAGCATCACTCATGTATGGATGAAGAACATTGGATTCTTCAAGATCACTAAAGGTGTTTTGGACCTGTACCGGGATTTAAATTTCAATAAGATGGAATTTCATCCTGCAAACTAGCGATGGAAGATAAGACATCAGAGTATCATTAATTAAAAGGAGGAAAAATCAAGGTAGAAAATGCTCAAATGAACTTAAATCACTTGCTGTTGCTGACTCTCAAGGCAAGTAAGACTCAAACCTTTGAGTCAACAGTGCGTCTTCAAACATACTTTCTCTTGTAATAAGGTAAACCACGCAAATATTTCTATGGCATGGAATGGCAACGCCTAGTAAAATACATTCCAATAACAAACTAACTCTTATTCCTCATAAATATGAAGTTGTGTACGTGATTATTTTTTTTTCATCCTCCTCCTGTTTGATCCATCACAAGAAAGAGCATTTACCTTGGATTCATAAGCTGATAGAGTACTATGTATCATTCCAGTAACTTCATCAAGGGAATGACTTGAGGATTTCCCATCTCCCACTTTCTCCTCGGCTTTATTCACATGGTTATTCGCATTTAAATCAGTAGAGACTTGTGAAGACTGCTGGAAGGAAGATATGAACATTAAAAAAAGTGTAGCAATGTGAACTGAAAACAAATAAAATTGATATTCTAAATACACTATGAGAAGACAAAAGAGGAGAAACCAGTTTTCATATTAGTCCAAAGCAAATAAATATGATTGTGCTACTCAAAATGGAACCAAGCATCGAATTCCTTGTGTAGAGGACACCAATACTTATGGGGAAACTGGTTCCATTTCTCTTTCCATAAGTTTAAAATCTTAGCTCAAGCAAGCTGATGCTAGAGACAAATATCTAAAGGCTCAAATTTTTGAATCCTATCATAAAGTAAGGATAAAGTAAAACCATTTCTTTGATTTTTACTTGCAGATAGTCAACTTCTTCAGACTTCTGGGGTGCATAATCCTACTTTTATATGCATGCACATCTGTGTCTCACAAGAGAAGCAAGCAGCAGCTGTCAGCATATGCAACTAAAGTTCCTACCTATAGTTCATAATTAATTATTTACATAGTAATGTACCTTCTATTACGAGATTTACTGTATATGATACTTCAACAGTAGAATTTAGACTAACACACCATATGGAGGAGAAAGCCAGCAGCCTAAGTAAGATTTGCAGACCAACCAGATCAACATTCCAAAAGTTAACCAGTTGAGAATTTTCAATTCTTAGTTCAAGATCATACTTAGCCCCTATTTGGTTTAACTAAAAAAGTTGATAAAATTTTAAGTCAAAGTCAACAATTAAATTTACCACACATTTCAAGGGACCCACAACTTTTATCAACTTTCCAACCACATTTTTTATCAATTTTTATCAAAATCTACTAAAATCTGATTTTTAGTAAAACCAAACGAGGGCGTACGCCAGTACTGATTCATATATTTTTTGGGGATATTTTAGGCAATTCCCAATCTTCTATTGCGTATTCATTTGTAAAATAGAAATTTTTACATACTGTTAATTACAATGGTTATTCCTCATTTATCTTCTTCTTCCTTCTTTATTTTGTGCATTTTTAGTTGGATTTCGTTCCAAACTATGGTGTTCACATCCAGCACATACAATGATCCTTAGCAAAAGAACCTAATGCAGGAGCATGCTTGAAACGAGGATGGGCCCATTGTCGCTATTTGGGAATTGCCAAATAGCACCTTAGTTCGGTGTCCTTTAAAGTGAGGCCAAAACGGAGTGGGCTTGGAGTGGATTATGGGCCTGATTCTAGTTGTAAATTTGTAATCTCTGAACACAAAAGATTTTAAAGGATGATAGCAAACGTTATGCTTTTCAGGTTTCTATTAGAGGCACGATTATAATTTATGATTCATTTTCCTTATATAGTTAGGAATTTACTTACTTTATTTTCTTACATTTTATACCTATGCAAATATTTTATAAATTGGAAGGAAATACATATAGAAAGTACATTCAGCCAAAATTGTGTCATGTTATCAGAGCCCTAAAATTCTCGAACTTGTCGTCGTAGTCTTGTGCTCCCGGTGCCATCCTGTAGTCTTGTGTTCTCGCGTTATATAGTCAGCATCCTCGGTGGTTGAACCTCACGTTTGTCAGCGCCATTTGAGCTTTTAATAATAGCATCGTGTTGGGTTAGCTGGATCTGCTGTTGGGATTCGTAGTTCACGTGTCTTCGTGGTTCAATTCTCGTCGCTGCAACATGTTCCGACACCGTCGGTAGTTGCCCGAACCTCCAGTGACGTCGTCCCTCTCTTCTGGTCGGAGGAATTTCAGTTTTGCCTCTTTGACTAGCTTCGCCTCTGTATCTACCGGTGGAATTGATTTGCGTGTGGACGGTGGTGTGTGTTTTGGGCCTTTGGTTGGTTGGACCAAGTTAATTCTAGTTGGGCTTACTGTTATTTGAGCTAATTTTTGTTGGGCCAAGTTAATTCACATTGGGTTCACTGTCATTTTAATAATTGAACTTGAATTTTTGTTTGGGCCTCAGTTTACGGGTTTCATTATTCTTGTACTGATTTGTATACGATTTCATCACGTCAATTTAGAAAATTGATTCTGTCCGCGCATTCGCTTTACTGGGAAAAGCTACTCTTCATGGACATTTCACTTTCAATTTTTGGTTAAAGGGAAAGGGGATCTATGGAAACATATTGATGGAAGCATTCCTCCCCCAATCAAGAGAAGGACAAAGAAAAGTAGATTGCTTGGAAAATTAAGGATTCTTGAATTATGGCCTGGATCATCGGATCGGTTGATGAGCAGATTGTCCTTAATCTCAGACCTTACAAGTCATCCCGTACTATGTGGGAATTCTTTAAGAAAGTCTATACTCAAAGTAACAATGCTCGACGACTTCAGTTGGAATTTGAATTGGCAAAATTTTATCAGGACTCCCATTCAATTGAAGAATATTATTCTGCTTTTTCTAATCTCTGGGCTGAGTACATGGATACCATCTATACTTCGGTTTCACCTTACAGTTTGAAGGCTCTCCGAGCTGTACACGAGATCACCAAGAGAGATCAACTTCTCATGAAATTGCGATCTGAATTTGAATCCATTAGGTCCATCCTTTTGGTTGTGTTTGTTTTGTTCATTTACCATCAAATGAAAGGACAAAACTCATACCTCAATCTGTTAAATGTGCTTTTCTGGGTTATGGTGGCACACAAAAAGGGTATGTCTGTTATGATCCTATGGCACATCGCATTAAGGTCTCTCATAATGTTTTTTTTTTTTTTAAACAATCTTTCTTTTCACTTCAAAAATCGTTGTTTCGCCTCCTATGTTCTCTGTTTTACCTATTTCTCTACAAATATTTCTCGATACAAGCCAGGTCACATTTACCCTCCCAGGCATACTTTACCAGAGCCGCTCTCTCAAGCGATTGCCTCCTCAAGGCCTCCAGATCCTCCACCTACAGCATCCAATCCTTCACCAGATGATCTTCCGCCTCTTATCACTCTACATCGAACTACTCGTATTTCTCAACCCCCGATAGATATGGTTTTCCCTCTCATAGCTCTATGTATACTAACCCTAACTCGATTTCTATCCCTTCCTCCCATAGACAAGTCATGGAACAAGAGTGTTGGAAACTGGCGATGTATGCAGAACTTGAGGCTCTTGAGGCTAACCAAACCTAGAATGTTGTATCATGCCCCCCGAATGTAAAACCTATTGGAAGTAAATGGGTATAATTCAATCAAACTTCTATCCGATGGTTCACTTGAGCACCATAAAGCTCGGTCGATTGCTTTAGGAAATCGTCAGAAGTATGGAATCGACCATGATGAGACATTTGCGCTCGTGGCTAAGATGACCATAGTTCATCTACTATTATCACTTGCCGCTTCCCAATCTTGGACTCTACATCAAATTAATGTAAAGAATGCATTTTTACACGGAGACCTTAAGGAAGACATTTATATAAAACTTCTATCTGGTATGCATCTTCTCTCAATGGATTTCATTTATAAGCTAAATTGTTCTTTGTACTCGTGCATGGTTTGACAAGTTTCCTTGCACTCTCTTAGATTTTTTCTTTACTCAGAGTCAGTATGATGCATCATCGTTTCTTCATTAAAATGGCATTATTTTTTGTTATGTGGACGATTTCGTTATCTCTAGATCTGATTACATCCTTATTCAGAGGCTTCAGCAGCATCTTTACTCGGTTTTTCATATGAAAGATCTTGGTCATCTTACTTCCTCGATTTAAGGGTTCATACTACATAGCACGGTACCTTCTTACATCAACATAAATATATTCAGGACTTGATTCGATTGGGTGATTTATATGATTCGTCTTTCATTGATACTCTGTTACAGCTCAATGTTAAATATCAAAAGGATTAAGGCAATATTCTTCCCGACCCCACTTTACATCGAAAGTTGGGGGGTAGTCTCATCTATCTCACTATCACATGTCTAGATACTTCCTTCGCGGTTCATCCTGTCAGCAAGTTTATGGTCGCCCCTCGACATCTTCATTTGATAGCTGCCTGCCGTATTATTCGCTACCTTATTGGGACTCTCATCATGGTCTATTCTCCCCTCGAGGATTTCCTCTTGAACTTACAGCTTATAGTGATACTGACTGGGCTGGTTGTCCTGATTCTTGTCGTTCTACTATTAGGTGGTGTCTCTATCTTAAAAGTGCTCTTATTTCTTGGAAATGTAAAAAACAAGATTGCATTTCTAAGTCCTCCACTGAAGCTGAATACTGAGCTATGTCCGCTGCATGTTCTGAGGTTGTGGGGATATGTTGTCTTCTTGCTGAATTTGGTATTTCACAACCACATCCTACACCTATCTATAGTGACAACACTAGTGCTATTCAGATTGTGGCGAATCTTGTATATCATGAGCGGACCAAACACATTGAAGAAGACTATTATTACATTCAAGATGCCTATGACTCCAAGATCATTTCTCTTCATCGTGTTCCCACTAATCAGCAGGTTGCAGATATCTTTACCAAATCTATGACTCGTCTTCGCCATAATTTTCTTGTCAGCAAATTAATGCTTGTGGACTCCCCAACATCAATTTGATGGAGGGTATTAGAGGCATGATTATAATTTATGATTCGTTTTCCTTATATAGTTAAGAATTTACTTTCTTTATTTTCTTACCTTTTATACCTATGTAAATATTCTATAAAATGGAAGAAAATACATATAGAAAGTGCATTCAGCCAAAATTGTGTCAGTTTCATGGAAAAATTAATAACCAAGGATGAAAATATGATCCCCACAAAGTCATTGGTGACCCCAAAAAGATTCTTCTTGCAATAAAAGGAAGAAGAAAAGTAAATACGAGGTAACATGTCTATAAGTAATTCAATGGAAGCATTCTGGCTTCCATTTTATTCATTACATGTCTCACTCCCATTCATGTGGAGAGGGAAAACTTCTTATATTGCTAATTTAGTAGGTTTCCAATTAAATGGGCTTGAAAAAAAAAATTACCTTTGCAAATTTTCCACTGGAAACAGCAAGGGCAACTTTCCAGAAGGCAGGTACATGGTGCACAAGCACAGCGGTTAACCGGCGGATATATCTTCCTCTTAGAGCATCCACTGCTTCACTAGTCACATCTCCAGGAAGTGGATCTCCAGAAAGATGGGAGTTTCCAAGATTAAGAGAGTAATCCACATCTGACTGTTGGTCATCAACAAAAACAAAGACTAGATTAATGGTTAGAAGTCCAATTGATTTCAAATAAATTCAACAACCATCTGAACATTTCACACTTACAGATTGATTTATTTCTTGCTGAATTTGCCTCCACTTTGCATCAGATAGTGCTTTTTCACGGATCTCATTATGCAAATTCTCCATTTGTGCTTCATGATCTAAAGTACATTTTTCAAGCAAACCTCTTATTCTGTGATTCTGTCAGAGAGTAAACAATAAGAAGAGTCAACATTAAGAACTCGGGAAAAAAATTACCCACTCAAAACTTCATGGCTTTCATTAGATAATCAACTCAATGGGGATGGAAACACGAGGAAGCAGCTACAAAGATTTGATTAGCATGCAATAAAAAGATTATTTTTAAGGAAAACAATCAGTTTTATGCAAATAGATAAATACTTAAAAATCATCTATGTTAGAAGCTTGACAAGAATTAACCATGAGTTAGAGACGTGTTAACGTAATTTGGACTAAATGTGGATTACAAAGTTTTCACCTGAATATTCAGGTAGTGCCATACGGGATCTGATTCAGGTTCAAGCTCCAACAAAAGCCTCACAATATTTTCAAGCTACAAACACATCAGATGATATTCAATCGTCACATATAACTCAAAATAAGAACATTAATAATTTACCCAAAAAAGAAAGAACGAAAAAAAGAGATTTACTCTCTTTTAATCTTTATCTAAATAAATTAAACTGGATTGTTGTGGACTGTATAACTTAATATACTTATATTCTATCCCAAAGAGCTAATGGCTCCAAAATCATTTGTGAACATCAATAATTTACCCAAAAAAAAAAAATGAAAGAAAGAAATTTACTCTCTTTAGATCTTTATCTAAATAAATTAAACTGGATTGTTGTGGACTGTATAACTTAGAGCATGTTTCGTAGAGATTTTAATCCAATTAACATCATTCTTTTTACCGTTATTTCACTATTCCAACCGTCATTTTTGAATTCTTCTCTCGCAGATAGGACACACTTTATCTCTAACGGTTAAAAAATCAATTAACAAAATCCCTACCAAACAAGCACTTAATATACTTATAATTCTATTCCAAACAGTAAATAGCTCCAAAATCATGTGCACATCCACTAGAGGTTAGTTGTGAGTTCTCACCGATGACCATGTGCATTGTCTAGAATTTTGCGTGTGTTTGTTTGTGGGGGAGTTTATCGTTTCTACGAGTGTTCTCAGTGTGTGTGAGAGATAGATAAAGTGAAAGAGCTGTATTGTAACTTATAATCACACTTGTAACATATAAAAAAGTATGTTAAAAGTGCTTTGTGAAGCAGTACAATAATGTTACTGAAATACAATAGATAACAAATCCATTTTTCTATTTTCACCGGGCGAACTTCTTTAGTCTTTTTTCTGGCAAAAGCTTTACATGTGTTTGAAAGACAAACCCAAATACGAAATCTTGTACACTAAAATATTTTCTAACTCGCAAAGAATAGATTATTCAGATTAACTTAAAAGTTAGATGCTCTTCAAACAGAACACGAGACCAATAACAAATCCTCTATCAGCATTAATTTGATGATATTGTCAAATGTAATAGCAAGATGACACGATACAAGTGAATTATGAAGAATTTTCCTTACATTTGTTAGGTCAATGTTTGGATCTTCCATTGACCTGTAAAGCATGCCTTTAAATTCTTGCATTACTTTTTCAACCTCCTCAAGAACACGTTTTAGAATTCCCACCTGAAAGATTTAAATGATAATAGAGCACTCATTCGAAGAAGGAAGATAAAAATTAACTTCAAATGGTGGAGGAGTCAAGCCGCTACGAAATCTCAAAAATACTGCAACATATAATAGATGATCGACATATACTAAAGACAAGTTCTTCGATAAAATTCTAAATTTTGTTCCTCATTTTTATTTCTAGCAACCTGCTTCCAATAGCAAAAAAATTTACCAAAGATGATCTTAGAAATTGGAAGCAATCACAAACTTACAAAAACATAAATCATGCGATAAAACCAAACCGAAAGGATTACATTGTCATGCATGTGGAGGGACATTTCGTGGAAATTATTGGATACCCAATGTGGCAAAATAGTTTCCTAGCTGGGCATGCAGAAGCCCAGTTCCATTTGCAGACAAAACTTTATTTTAGAATAACATGTTAAGAAGCGGAAAGAGCTGAATACCCAAAACTACACATCCTAGAGCATTAAGGCAACAAAATCATCTTACTTGGGGGTATAAGAGAAGCTTCCATTATAGTTTTCAAAGATAATCTCTAGCAGACTCAATAAATGGTATAAATCAGCCAACAAAAACCAGAGAGGAAACTGATAGAATGATAGAAGAGAGGGAATTGGAAATTTTATCGAATATATTTCCATCACATTGCCTTAAAAATTACATGCGAGGAGTGAGGAAAAGTCAACAACATTTCGCGTCGCAGTCATTCAAGTAGTATTAAAAATAAAAATGACTATTTTGGGACATTCTACTATGACAAGGTGGAACAAACTGCAATCCAAAAAGGCAAAAACTAAGAAAAAAATTGACTACAATCACAGGAACCATGCCAGAATAAAATCAAACCACAACAAAAAAATAAACATAGAATGAACGAGATAACCATTCAATATGACCCTGGACTGAAATCAAGCAAGACCAAGCCTAACATTTCAGCTGCAAGCTATATAATAGTGTGTGGTTAGACCATATTGCACACACTTAACTGAGATAGTTACATAGGTTGCTGCCAATAACATTTGCAAACTTAGCTTAGGAAGTTCCTTTGGTTGCTACCAGTAAGTCAGTAACATCATAACCAAGCACTACTGCTGAAAACATTGATACTGTACCAGAGGGTCGATGTTAGGAAGGAAAAAGTGCAGTAGCTGTTTCATCAACCCACACTCAAGAACAGAAACCAGTTGATTAACTTAATTCTTAAGAACAAATGTAATTGGACAGTGAAATGATATTCAAGAGAAGAACACAATGCCCATTTGAGGGGGAAGGATTAGGGACTATAGCTCAAATAAGCAACATATGGTATAGTGATAAAATTGGTTTCAACATTTTAAAATCATTTTTATGATATTATGCCTGACTCAGAAGACCGAATGGCATGCGCTAAAGGAACCTACATGAGAAGGCAGAACAATTGATTTTGCTTTCCTGTATTCTCTCACAGCCAAATCATATTCANAATTTAATTTCTCTGCAAAATAACACAAAAAAGTTGCCTTTAGAACTCGAGTTGACAATGGTCACCTGCAGTATATTCTTAATACACCTTCACTCAAAGGCTGCAGTCAAGTTCCCCAGAAAATACATGCATCAAGCATATTGCTAAAAGTCAGAATAATTACTGCCATCGTTAAGATTGGAGGTAGTGATATCCCGCCCAATCAACTGCATATAGTTACTCACCCGAAACTCGATTCCAACTGTTTCCACCCTTAAAATCAGAAGACAGAAAATGAAGTTCTGTTGGAGGCAGAGACTTGTGGGAACCAAGGCAGACAAAAAATGAATAGCAAACCTAGTACAATTCTGATCAACTAGTAAAAAATGCTGGAGGTTGGTTAACATTTCCTTGAAGCCAACACAAACTTACTAGACCAACACGAACGTTCTCAGGATGACAAAGGAATGAAACGTAATTCCAGGGATATCCTTCAGATATATCACAAGCCTTACATTGACTTACACTTCTCTCTATTTTTTAAGTGGCAATCAAGAATTTCAATGGGACATCTCGAGCACTTCTATTTTAACCCAAGTCCTTCCATTCTCACTTCATTTCTCGAGAATACAAATAATGCCAAATTATATATCAGGATGATATTTTATACATTCACTGTATAAAGAACCATAAAGCTACAATAGAATTTTATTCATAGATGCAGAATGACCACATTCGAGTATGACACCTGAGTATGAAACTTTATTACCACGCGGCATTTGAATGTCGAAACTCACAGTATTTACAGAAGAATCCATTTTAGTTCCAGAAATGGAAGGAAAGATAATGAAACTTCATATGATGAAAATCAGGTTTAAAGCATCCAGTATTTCAAACAGAAGGGTGTCTGTTGTCATGGTAATAAATCATTTCCTTCCCCAAAAAATAAAAACTAACAAAGGAAGTGCAGCTCAAGACAACAATAGAATAAATACCTCGCACATTCGAATCAAGAGGTTCATTATCAGCCAAGGACGGAGAACTTGCAACGCTATCACTGATCAACCTAAATGTTTTGTGGTTAATTAGCCTGTGATTACACGTGAAGTAAGTAAGAGAAAACATTAAAAATGAAAAATCAGAAGGGAATTTTAAACAACTAACAAGATAAGAGATTTACCCCAGTCCTAGTGGATCTACCCATTCCATTCCTCGGGGAAGTGACTTTATATTGCTTAGTCCTTTTTTACCCAGTGCTGATGGCTTCTGTTCAGACTTTTGAGCCATCGGAACTGTTTTGCTTTCTCTCATCTCACGAACCCTTCGAGCCAGCTGTCAAAAAATTTCAATTTCAATAAATCCAGGCATTTTGCCCAGATTACGACACAGTTAAGTAACAAATATCTGGGAAAGTTCACCACATATAAGTTTAGAGGGGCAGCTAAATTGTCATGCAAAAACAAGGCACTCAGCTGCCTCCATTAAATCAACTCTTTTTTCTCAAACTCACTTTCGACCAATAAATTATTTTGCACATAAAACCAAAACTTTTTCCTACTTTTTAACCAAACATTCTTTAAAAAGTCACTATTCCAAAACTCATTTTCACACAAAAAAAAAAAAAAAAAAAAAACACTATTTCCAGTAAAAAAAAAAAAAAAAAAAAAAAAAAACACTATTTCCAGTGGAAGACAAACAGAGGCTTAACCTCACCAATACAAATAAATGCGTATGGTAACAGCATCCAAAATGTGAAATACTAAATAATAAAAGAACCTAAAAGGAGGAGAGAGGATGCTAACATACCTCTCCATTTCTTTCATTGAAGATATTATATCAACCTTTCGAAGAAACATTAATCAAATTTAGGGGTGTAAGTTAACACAGATATGCTAATGTTTCAAAGAAAGGGAAACTGAATAAGTCACACGTGAGATTTAGAGTCAGAATGCTTAGTTTCTTAGGTCTAAGTTATTGAGAATTCCTCAGCCGCTCTTTCTAAGGAACTCGGAAATTACGGTAATTACCCATGTAACTTTAAGAAGCACCTGAAAGAAATTTTATTTCTTCCAGAAGCTGATAATTAGGTCATTACTAACTGGAGCTGTTTTGGTATTTATGGCCATCATCAGTCACAGCTTAAAAAATAATGAAGTCTAGAAGAGGATGTATTAAATGTTTCTATTCTTACGAGTTTTACATACTCCATTTGAGAGTATAATAACTCTGTCTAGTTTATTTCTATTTACCGAAATAGATTTGTAGAGCAAGTCTTTCCTCTATTTCAAGTTCTCCAGGCAATAAAGCTCTACGTACAACAAGAACAAAATAGTCAAATACATCACCTTGTCCAGCAATTCACAAGCTCAAGATTCATTATTGAACAGCAAGACAAATATCCTTTCTATGATTCTATTTAAATCTCAATGTGTCTGCCCATTGACAGATCAAGTGACCATATAATCTCTCAAACAGTAGTTTGTAATTCATGCAGGTCAGAGCCACTCATCAACTCAGCATCAGAATTTGGTCTAATCAATTAGTCTCTACGCACAATATAGGCATATGTACATGACACGAGCATGCCTAGCAGCATAAGGCAACCAAACAACTAACTTGAAAGCCTATGATTCACTTCAATAAAGAATATGTATGAAACTAGCTATCAATATAGATACATGTATATATAGGTCCACGTATTTAAGCAAAAAAAATAAATCATTAAAATTCACTTCAATTAACAATTCAGTATCCATGATCCACTTCAATAAATAAAAAAAACCTCAGTTTCATCCACGTGCTTCCAGCAATTTGGCTCTTCTCCATCCCACCCTTTATCGTCATCTCGTCGTCTCCCGGCCCGGGTTTTCACCCCGATCCCACGATCATCCTCATCTCCGGAAGATATACTTAGCATTTCCACCTCCGAATCATCGTCCTCTTCCACTGTCCCCTTCTTCTGCTGCTGGTGAGCGATCCCTTTCTTCGGTTGCTGAACCGGGATGGGATTTTTCACAGGGACTGAAGACCGATTGGAAGGCGGCTGGACGTAGTTTCGGACGGGCTTGGAAGATGTTTTGGTGGGTTTTTGGTAATTGACATTGCGCTGTGCTTGCTCTTTCAGAGCCATCTGCAACAGCTCATCCTCGTCGAAATCTTCACTGTCGCTAGACATTTTGAGCTGCTGTTTATGAGAGGTTGATTATAGATACAGGAACTGTACGTAATTCTGTGGGGTTTCCGAATTTGGATCCGATGAATAATGGTGTTACTTCAGGGGTAGACGAACAAAGATGGGACTATAGTGCGTTGCGCACACGGTATTGTTTCTGCAACTGCTATTTCTAGATGCCACGTGGACAATTTGATTGGCTCTTCATGGAAAAGCATTTTTGAATTTTCAATATCAACAATTAAATTTTCAGAAATTTTTTATTATTATTATTTTTTTTTTTCATGTTTAAGAATTTATCAATTTTATTTTCTGATTTTATTTATTGTTATTTTTATTTGTTAAAATTTTAAAAATTTATTTGTTAGAATTTTATATTTTTGTTTTTAAAAACTTCCTAATTCTTAATGTTTGTTTTTCCATGTTTTGATTGTGTTTTAAAATTTACATTGAAAACACTCAAAACGTCAAAAATACGTTTTGAGTTTTATAATATAAATTTATCATTGTTTTTGTAAAACATTTTCAGAAATATCATACAAATCACATTTTCATTATTTTACAAAGTTGAAAAGAAGTTTAAAAACAATAAACAAAATGCACACTTCCAATTTTGATTAATCATTTACTAAAACTAACATAAAATATATCGTGACATGCATTAAATGTCAAGGTCAATTAAATGACCTGGAATCCTTCATCAATTCAAAATTTGTTGACAAAAATTTAGGAGATTGGATAAAGTTTCGAAAATCATCTAATATTTAGACAAACACTAATCTAAGAAATCTAAATGGCACGTCATTGGCGCTTGCTTGAGTTTTGTTATGAGTTGTCGAAATTATAGTACAATACAAATGAGCGACAAATAAATGGAATAATTATGAATATTATAAAATGTGCGGTTAAAATTAAATTTTGATTTTAAACTTTAAATTATAAGAAGATCGTAATGGAAGGAAAGCAATCTCTTAATGATTATCATGTTAGATTATAAGTTAATTTTAGCATTCAGTGACTAACGATGAAACTATTGATATCTTCAGTGATCCCACGAACTTAAGAAAATATTTTATGCATTGTGTGATAATTAATTTCAAAATATATTTTTTCACTCTTTTATTTTTAACAATACATTATTCAATACAATGAAATTACACACGAACTCATACATTTTTACTTATTTTTTAACCATACATTTTTTTTAAAGAAAAATCACTATTTCGATATACATTTTTACCAAAATTAATTTTTAATGGATCTAAAATTGGGGCTTAGTGAAATTAAATTAAAGGATAATAATTTCCATATTACATTTTTTTTATTATCTATACCATATTTTAATTTCAATACAAGTCCCAAATATTTGTTCATTTTTGCACTCATATCCTCTACTTATTTCATCGTATTATTATCCTTAATCATTAATTTATGTCTATATCTTGATTTTGATATTGTCTTGGTATTCTGCTAACGTACATCGAAATAGAATATTTTGTAAATTTTTATTTATTTATTGTTCTTATTTAAAAGAAAGATAGATAAGCATGTTAGCGAAGGTAAATTTTTGTTGTACTTTCATATCCTTTACTTTTGTCACAAATTTTGTTACCCATAACGATAAGGGTATTCAAAATTTGGTGTGACTAACAAAAATTGTGATGTGAAAATAATTATCATCATGAATATGCGACTAGAGTGTGTACTGATTAAATTATAAATAAATAAACCACAAGTGATGGTAGATAACTAGGAGTATTATGGATTCTTCAAAATATGTTACTAATAAGTGATTTGAGTGTTAATATATAGTTTATATATTAAAAACACGAGCCAAACATAGAATAAGAATTTGAGTTAGGGTAATTGATAGTTCCTTGTGTACTATTATTTGATTATCTCACATGTGTTTTAGCCCATGTTTTGGTTTGGCTAAAAATTAAAATTTTTAATAAATTTTGATAAAAAATGATAAAATGTATAGTTAAAATTTTTGATAAAGTTGTAGATATCATGAAATACATAACCTCAGTTTAACCGTCATTAATAAAAAAATTTACTTTTTCCTCAAATTCAATTTTAACCACACTTTCTTCTAATAAAATAATTTTGTACTTAAACCTAATTTTTTTCCTATTTTATAATCGTACATTCTAAAAAAAATAAAATCATAATTATAAACTCATTTAAAAAAAAAAAAAGGATTCAAATATGAGCATGAAGATGGAACTAACCTATACTCAGTTTGATTTCTATCAATAAAATAATTTTACACATAAATTCAAAATCTTTGCTAACTTTTGAAAAAAAAATTAAAAAAATCAACTTTTACAAATTTATTTCCAAAAAAATAGACTCATGGCTAAATAAAAATATTTTACTTTTTTTATATTTTAATAATAAATAAAACTTAGTCGGACGTGGGGTCCATCATCAAGAGGACTTATTAGCGGTTGTGTGGATCGATTCCGTACAATTTGTCTTTATAGCATGACTCTCAATAAAAATTATTAAAAAGGTACAAGGTTTATCTGAACCGCACCGTTTCATCGCTCCCATTCACCAGAGTTATTTCCGTGTTATCAATCTAGAAACCCTACTACTGTTTTTACATTTCTTTGTAGGTGTCGTATAGTGTACACAGTTGTTTGGTTTCTGTATTCTTGAAAAAAGTTAATTATTGTATGTACGCATCTATACAGTAATGTAAAATTGAAGTGAAGAGTCATATTCGAATACTGATTTTGAGTTGTTTGCATCAAATTCAATCCTGGTGTTTAATTTCTGTTTATTTACCGAATTATAACCCTTTTTTTTAATAATATATTGAATTCAAGACTGAAAAGACACTGATTATGGATTTCTTGTATCAAATAAAACCCTATTTATAATTTCAATTCGTGTGCCAAATTAAAGCCCAATTTTTTGAATTCTAGATTGATTTTTCATCTGATCATTCCAAACATATAGAGACACAGACATTGACATATATAAATGGCGGATCACGATGAGGATGATTTGAAGATGGCGTTAAGGATGAGTATGCAGCAGCATAATCATCCGGAGCCGAAGAGGAGCAAATCGAGGGATGACTCTGGTGGAAGCGGAGAGGTTCCGGAGGAGTCACCGGAAATGAAGAATCGACGTATGCAGCGGGAATTAATGGCCTCCGCGGCTGAGAAGCGGATGGAAGCGGCCAAAAGTGCCGTACCAGCAATGTCCGCCCCAAAGAGTGCAGAGAGCGTGAAGGAAGTGAAAATTAGTGGTTCTGGAATGGAGGGTAAGAGTAAAAGTGTCAGTTTGGAGACATGCAAGGAGAAAAATGGAAATTCGGGTGCTGAGTTATCCACGGCAGAAGCTCACCAGCTTTTTTCTATGATTTTTGGGAAAGAAGTCAGCAGAAATGTACTTGCACAGTGGTGTAATCAGGGCATTCGGTAAATTTGTTGAATGGAAAATTTCAGAACTTGTTTTTGTGACATGTTTTTGAGTGACTACATGCTATTATCATTCGATATGTGGCAGCTATTAGAATTATGGGTTATCTCAATCAAATGAAAAGTAGATATTAAGAACTTGTGAATGACTGTGGGCAATCAATCTAATAAAAAGTAGAGGAACTAAGTCATTATTGTATTTTCTGGTGGCCAATTTAGAAATATGGTTGTGAAGATTCAAGAGAACTGACTTTTGGAAACACCAACTACTTAACATCATTGTCAGTCTGTTGGGAATGGTTTAGTAATAATTAATTAATTAATTAATGTATCTGGTTTATAGTTGTTAATGCTAGTATCTTGTTTATAGTTTGTAATTGTGCACTCTGCCATTTTCTCTCCTTTCCGGAATATGGTAGTACTGTGCCCCATAATAGAGAGGTTGTGTCTGAGCCATGGAATGTAAGAGCTGGAAGCATTTAGCATTCAAATTTATAAACTCTATAAGCTAAAAACTAAAGACATGTCACTCTTGTTTTCTTGGAATAATCATGTTGGTGTGCTAACAGAAGCTTTCTGCTGTTCCTTGCTAATGCAAGACTAGGGAAGTAACTTAGCCCTAACAGGAGTGGATTTAAAGAGTTTGTATATAGAGCAATTCAATGTGGATGACATTGTGACTTGTGGGTATTCCACTCGTGATGTATATTGGATGGACATTTTAAGAGGACTTCCTTCTTAAGTTTTATATTGGGCAAATAGTCTGGAGCGAATAAGATTTTAAAATAGCAGAACCTGTAATAGTATCATTTAAAGGCAGAATCTTTCCGACGTTGATATCTTAACTCTGTTTGACATCTCTTACATGGTGATAGAAGAATGAAATACAAGGGATTGTTCAGTTGGGAAAATGAAGTTTCAAAGACTGAAACCCCCTTGTGGGAAACAAGCTCAAAAAAGCATGATAAACTACCATCATGAAATTGAAATCATTTTAGAATAAAGAGAAACCTACTTTTCTGGATATCAGATTTTCTTTATGCCATGCAGACTTTTAGGATTCTATTGCTCATACCAGGTTATTTATTAATCAAACATTCATATGTCAATAAATTCTATGGTTCAGCTGTTAAATTTCATGGTAGAGTCTCATAATTGAGAAATATTTACTGGAAACATACAGTAATTTATAAGCATACATGCAACATTCAGGGCCCGACCATTCCAGCAAGAATATAATTGTTGATTTAACTTATACAATTTTATTATCTCTGTCTAATAAAACAAATTTCAATACTAAAGCATTCAAAGAAATCTGGAAGCCATAACGCAAATTTCTTGTCATCAATAGCACAACTAAGGAAGAAGGGGGAAGCAACGGACTTATTTTCACTGTTTATGTACCAGCTCATCTGGAATACGTAAACCCTGCTTGAGATCCTTACCAGAATCTTTTGGAAGCCACCTTTTCTATTTTACCACTTGGCACCTCTGGCTCTCAGAAATGTGGATAACTTTGAGGCCTATGTTAGCTTCCTCAGCATAATCACCATAAATTGCCTTACAACACCATTTGGCAACGAACTCCTTTAATTCACAGTCTTTTACTTCCACACAAAAGTTGATTGCAATCTATGACAACTACCTTCTTTCCTGACCATTTCATTCCAGTTAATGCTTCTTCCCTAACAAAATTAAGTTGTTCCCCCATTCTTGCTTTGGTTGGATATGATTATCATTTTTTGAGAAATTAAAGCATTATTTGTTTCAAATTTACAATGTAGTTTCAATAAATTCTCAATAAATTTAATATTTTCCAGTATTAATAATAATCATAAAACTCCATTTCTTATTTTTGTTTTTCCTTGATATGGTCCTCTTAAGTTGCAATTGATGTTTACTATTTGATGTCAATAAGATTAATGATAGAGGCATGGTTTGAATAAGTTAACTTCTGAATAACAGCGATCACGGATTGAATATCTAAATGGCTTTGACTTTATGTTTGCTTTAAGTCCATCCAGAAACCATTGTCTTCCTTAGCTTTTGTTTACTTCAATATACTTGAACATAGTGCTACTATCATTTTGGAAATCAATAGTAGTAATAGGAGACTGTGTATGTATATTGAGGTCTGATTTTGACACTCTGTGTATGGATAGTGCCTTTCTTTGTCCATATAGTGAGTGTGATTGTGCATGCTCACAAAATACGTTGTTGACACAATTTACGTACGAATACATCTAATTTTTGTTATTTCTCTGAAGGATCTTAGTTGTCTGTGGAATTAAATTATTTATTATACTTGTACTTGTACCTCCTCATTGCTTGTTTGTAAAAATGAGCTCGTCCATTTAGCTATTCTAAATATTGGAAATAACTCTCTTCTAGGTTTAGTCCTGATTCAGAAACATCTATGGGACTAGTGCAGCATGAAGGTGGTCCGTGCGGAGTATTAGCAGCTATACAAGTATTCCTTTGATTTCTTGCTTCCAATTCAAATTTAATTGCACGGACTTTAATACTAACTCCAAATGCCTCATTTATACATCTGCTAACATCTCTGTCATTGTTAATTCCTGAGTATATTTAAAATGAAGACGCTTGCAGCTATACAAAAGATATCATGTGTTGTGGTTCAGTTCAATTATCATTTGCTTGCCAAGTTACTCTTTCTTATTTGTAACATCCTCTCCAATTTTATTTTAGCCCTTTTTTGATCACCATTATTTTCAAAATACATTTTCTCTTTTTTCAACCACGCACTCTTCAATAAAATAATATTATACGTAAACGTAAAATATTCGTTAAAAAATGGGGCTCAAACAGGCTCTTAGGTTGATTCTCATTACTGAAAAATGGAAATTTTACTGGAACTTAATTGTAATTTATGGCAAAATGAATCTTTCACAACTAACTTTATTCTTGCATGCACGCTATGAAATGCCTATGGCATCATTTTTTAACATGTTCATTATAATAACTCACACTATATATATATCTCTATTTCTTTTTCTGCACTTGTGCTGGTTTGTTTGCTTTCTCACGCTAATTTGGTGTATTTTGTTCTTCATGTTTCATGGATGTTATTTATCCACTACTAGCTTGCTGCTCAGTACATCTGTCCATCATTGCATTTTTGCACGATTTCATTTGAAAAATTCCAATTTTCACCTTTTTAACTTATCACGCTTCTTTATTGTTTACGTTGTGTTCTATCTTCTAACATGCAATTTTTCCGTTTGCAGGCTTTTGTATTCAAATATCTTCTATTTTGTCAAGAGGAATCAGGCAATGTTGCCCCAAACGTGTCAACAAATTTGGGTGTTAGTGTATCCAACAGTGAATCAATGGGTGCAGATATTTTTTCTTCCCTTTCAGAAGACCATAAATCAAGGTCATGAATCTCTTTATTCTTTTATTGTTAAGGACTTGACTAGGTTTTACCTAGGCCTCATTTGCTGAGTCAGAACTTGAAGAGGGGAAAATGAAAATGCACGAGAAGTTTCTAATAGCATTATGGATCTTGAATCTATATACATGGCATTAGGGTCATTTTCTTTGAATTTTTAGTAGTAGCACCTATGTACATTGCTCTGAGGTCGCTAAACTGCTATTTGTGATGGCTGTGGGAAGGGTAGGCTACATAAGAATTAGTTTTTATTTTTTTGGGGGGATAATAATGTGGTTTTTGATGAAGTGGATGTACTTTGTTCATTTATATCATACTCCTTTCAATTGACTATTTAGTCCATTTTCAAGCAATTATCCGACTTTCATTTTGGATAGCATGCTGATCAGACTATCCCTTTTGGGAGCTTAACTAGCATGATTACTGCCATGCTCAACACAAGCTATTGAAACATTCATTTCTAATTGTTCCCAGATAGTGAAAGTTGTTCACACGTAACCTGGTTCTTCAGTATTTTCTTTGAAGAATTTTGTATTTCATTGTTAACTTTTTCACTTTAAAAGAGTTATCACACCCCATTCTATCCTTCCACTAGAAGCAAAGGATAGAAAAAGATGCGGAGGAAAGAAAAAGAAATGAAAGTAACATGAGAATAACGAAGTTATAGTTCTCAAGGTTGGTGTCCTATTTTAGTGTTGGTCTTTAATTTCTGTTTTGTTTTTATCAGCACATCATCTAGCGTCATCTGCAGTAGCTTTGATGTTTCTCTTATGTTTCTGTTTTTTGGCGCAATATTCTTCTTCCATTAAATATGTTTACATATAATTGGTTTCTTTTAGAGCTTCAGACGCAGCTTTTTAGTTCTTCAAAATTCAAATACCGTTGTTGATGTTGGAGTTAATTAAGCATGGGGGAAAGCTTACCTACAAATTCTTGTGAGCTTTGTGCTGTGCTACTTTTTTCCTTTTTTTATTAGACCTGCTCATTTCTTGGTGCAAGTTTATTTTTCTTCCTCTTTACAATGGAAGAAGATTTTGTTTTTTGAACTTCAACTCACTTTAAATAGTTTGGAATTTGCATTTATGAAACTAATAGTTTCAATGAAATTCTGACCATTCCGATTTACAGTATAGTAACTTGTATTTTCATGAATGGGTTTGGAAGTTTTGTGCTAGCTCATTTGGCAGACTTTTCTTGTTTTTCTTTAAACTGTCGTTATTTTTTATTTGCGTTTTGATAAATGTTTTGTAAATTTTGCCACTTTTATACAGTGCCTTGGTCAGGAGTATGAATGAGATGCTCTTTCTGTGTGGAAACAATGAAACAGCTGTAATAGCATCAATGGATGTTCTTGATGGTCATGTGGAGGAGTCCATGGATGGATCAAAGGATGAGGTAAATTTATCACTTTACATCTGTGCAACATTTCAATGGGTTTCCATTTCAAAGTGGTACAATGTGGCTGTAATAACCTTCATTCAATAATGGTGAATGTCCAATTTACTAAAAATCTGAACACCATATATGGTTTAACATGGTCTACTTTTACTGCCTGTGGTTAGTGTTCACACACTTAAAAAAATGGTAAGACTTGTGTCTACAATTATTGTCCATCAGTAAGGCACACGGAACCTACGATGGAGCTCCCCTCACAATCCAAATTAACCCAGCCACCACACCACCACCCAACCCAGGATTCTACAGCAAAAGGAAAGGACAATTAAAGCCCTTGTTTGAGACCCATTTTGGAGGAGAAAATGAATTTTTGAATAGTGTATGGCCAAACGACAAACGGTGAATGAACGAAATAGACAAAGCATGACTTATGCAGAAATTACAGCAAACTCACAGACCTCGGAGCATGCCAACCAATGGATTCTACAGCAAAAGGAAAGGACAATTAAAGCCCTTGTTTGAGACCCATTTTGGAGGAGAAAATGAATTTTTGAATAGTGTATTGATGAGAAATGTGTGGTTAAAAAATAAGAAAAAGTTTTTGATTTGCGTATAATATTATTTTATTGAAGAATGTGTGGTTGAAATGATGTTAAATTACTGTTGAAAAATGTATTTTAGTGAAAAAATGGGGCTCAAACAAGGGCAAAGTCAGTGATAACGAAGGTCACGACATTTGTTTGAGTGGGGCTGAAATAATGGCCCGTGTCCAGGAGTTGAAAGGAGCATTCGATGAATTACTTAGGCTAGTTGGAAGTGGGCCTGAAATGGACCCCATGAAATTGGTATGCTGTCACAAGTGTGGGGTTGAGTTGGATGAGGATTAAACCGGTGAAATACACATACCGGGATTGACTCATGAGGAACTACCATCAATTACAAAACATGAAAAGTAGGGAAGAGTTGAACATTATGAGTCTCAGGAGAGGATGGAAGCGGGGTACTATAAAAACGACGACGGGGTTGACTTAGTGGGGTTCAACCGGAATGAAGTAGATATGGGGATTGCAGTAGAACGAGAGGTGGAATCGTTGTCTAAGGAAGGGGAGTCGAGTATGGTGAACTTGGAGATAATGACAATAGACGTTATGAAAGAAAACAACGCTACACATTCGACATCAAGGATTACGAATACTTATAATAGGAGGACAAAAGAAAATAATATGGGGACCGAAAAAGCTTTGATGTTGTGGGTAGATGGTGCCAAGAAGGGAGAAAGCGACAGTGACATTATACAAGTGGTGGAAGAGAACGCACTGTCCTTTGATCATCTCGAGGGCTACCACGGAGAGGAATCTTCAGAAGCTGATGTGTTTGAAGTTGAATTCTACAAAAAATTCAGGAATTTAGTAAGTTGGTTGGCATGTCATGTGATGGATATGAAAGTAGACTGTTACAATTACTCGAGGAGCTGGAGGCTAATAGGGGACAAGACATCAGTACACATGGAGGTAAATTAAGAAAAAAAGGTGATCGCGAACTTAAGAGGCTCGAATGGTCAGTAAAATATTCTGGTAAGGGTGGCGAGTCCAAGAAAGGAACAATGGGGAGGGGTTACGGAGTGCTATAATGATGCCAAAATTCATTAGCTGGAACGTAAAGGGGCTCAATGAGGTTGGTAAAGAGCTTGGTGTTCGACATTTGCTAAGGGGATGGAGGGCAAATCTTGTATGCTTGCAAGAAACTAAGATGGAGTTTATCTCGAGGGCGGTGATTAGTAGTTTATTGGGGGGGGGAACCATGTAGGGTATCAGTTTTTGGGGTCATCAGGGGTATCAGGAGGCGTGTTGGTGATGTGGGACACTAGAGTGCTTGAGATGGAGGAAGTGAGAATAGGGGTGTTCTCTATATCGATTTCTTTCAAAAATTGCGAGGATAGATTTCGGTGGATGTTCACAGGAGTTTATGGGCCTAATTCTGATGACACTAGAGTGAGCTTGTGGGATGAACTGGCTGGAATGAGGGCTTGGTGGAATCTACCAACATGTATTGGGGGTGATTTCAATGTGATTCGATTTCCTTCGGAGAGGTCGAGTGGTGGGAGACTGACTAGGGCAATGGAGGAGTTCTCAGATTTTATTAGGGAGAATTTGTTGGTGGATTTACCTATGGTTGGGGGAGATTTTACCTAGTCATCTAATCGGGACGGACCCGTCTTGTCTCGTATTGATAGGTTCTTGATTTGTGGGGAGTGGGAGTCCAAATATTCAGATGTCACTCAGAGAAGATTGGGAAGGGTGTACTCAGATCATTTTCCTATTATGTTATCTGGAAATAAGAGGGGTGGTGAAAGAAGACCTTTCAGGTTTGAGAAGATGTGGTTGAAAGTAGAAGGTTTCAAGGAGCGAGCACAGACGTGATGGACTTCCTATGAAGTCAGTGGGTCTCCCTGTTTTGTATTGGATCAGAAGCTAAAGGCGTTGAAAGGGGATTTAAAGAAATGGAACGAGGAAGTTGTGGGCAATGTTAACTGTAGTAAAAATTAGTGTCTGTCAGAGATAGAGGAATTGGATAGGCGGGAGAAGAGTCAAGGGTTGGCTGGGGAGGAGAAGGAGAGATATAGAGTATTAAAGGATGAAATGAAGGGGTTGGTGGAGATGGAGGAGATTGCTTGGCAACAGAAGTCTAGGGTTACTTGGTTGAAAGAGGGGGATAAATGCACTAAGTTCTTCCACAGGGTCGCCAATTCTAATAGGCGAAACAATTCCATCACAGTTTTGGAGGTGGACGGGGTTACTTATGAGGAACCACAGGAAATTGGAAGCCAACTGATGAATTTCTATCAAAACCTCTATCGGGAGCAATTTGAATGGAGCCCAGAATTGGAGGGATTGTACTTTTCTACTATCATGGAAGATGATGCTAGATGGATGGAGAGACCATTTGGGGAAGATGAAATTAAGGAGGTAGTGTTCAGCATGAACGATGATAAGGCTCCGGGACCGGACAATTTCTCGTTCTCATTCTACAAGGCGTGCTGGGATGTGGTGCGACCGGACATTGTGAATACTCTATCTTATTTTTTTGAACGTGGCAGATTTCAGAGAAGTTTTAACGCTACATTTATTGTGCTCATCCCTAAGAAACCGGGAGCGACTGATATTAAGGACTTTCGCCCCATTAGCCTTGTCAGTGGGGTGTATAAGATTATTGCGAAAGTCCTGACAAACAGATTAAAGGAGGTGCTGGGAAAAGTAGTGTCCAAGTTTCAGAATGCATTTGTAAAAGGACGTCAGATTTTGGACTTTGTGCTTATAGCGAATGAATGCATAGATTCAAGAATGCGTCTAAGGGTCCCAAGGATGTTATGTAAGCTAGATATTCAGAAGGTTTAGGAATCATGTAAATTGGGGATTCCTATTATATATGCTTAGGCGTTGTGGCTTTGGGAGTAAGTGGTGTAAATGGATTCAATTCTGTATTTCTACTGTTTTATTCTCAGTTTTGGTCAACGGAACACCTGAGGGTTATTTTCAGAGTAGTAGAGGCTTGAGACAAGGGAATCCATTGTCTCCATTGTTATTTGTCATTGTGATGGAGGGTTTCAGTAGGATGATTGAAAGAGCTGTGGAAGCGGGGTTGATAAGGGGTTTTATGGTTGATCAATTGCAGGTGACCCATCTGTTATTTGCAGATGACATGCTGATCTTATGCGATGCAGATGTTGAACAATTCAGGAACTTGCGCTGTCTGCTCCTATGCTTTGAAGCGGTGTTCGGTTTGAAGATCAATTTGGGGAAGTCTGAGGCTATTCCAGTAGGGGAGGTCGATAACGTGGAGGAGCTGGCTAATATATTGGGTTGTAAGGTTGCGCAACTGCCAATGTCATATCTAGGGCTCCCGTTAGTGGCACGATTTAAAAGTAACCATATCTGGAATGGTATTGTGGAAAGGATGGAGAGAAGATTAGTTGGGTGGAAGCGTATGTTTCTAAGGGAGACAGACTTACTCTCATTAAATCTACTCTCTCGAATCTCCCTACTTACTTTTTGTCATTATTCCCCATTCCGATTGCGGTGGCAAAGAGATTAGAAAGACTTCAAAGAGAATTTCTGTGGGCAGGGTTGAGGAAGGAGAGGAGACTCTATTTGGTCAATTGGAGAGTTGTCTGTTTACCGATGAGGATGGAGGGTCTTGGGGTGAGGAGCCTTGTGTTGATCAATAAGGCTTTATTAGGCAAGTGGTTGTGGCGATTTGGAGTGGAGAGGGAGAGCTTCTGGAGAGAAATAATTGGGGCGAAGTATGGTATGACGGAGGGGGGATGGTGTACATTTGAGGATCGTGGTTCTTATGGGGTGAGTTTGTGGAGGTATATCCGACGGGGATGGAGTGATTTTCTGGACAAACTGAAGTTTGTGGTCGGAAATGGTAATGAGATTAGATTTTGGGATGATTGTTGGTGTGGAGATCAACCGCTGAATGAGAGATTTCCTTCCTTGCACCGCATTGCCTCAATGCCCTCTGCTATGGTGAGTAATGTCCTTAGTCATTCATAATAGGAGCTATAGCTGGAATATTACTTTTGGGAGGAGTCTACAGGATTGGGAATTGGAAGATTATTCGTTGTTTATGACCTTTCTACATGAGTCACAAATTCGGGTAGGAGAGAGTGATTGTATCTGGTGGAGGATAGCACGGGATGACATTTTTTCAGTTCGTTCGTACTTTGGTTCCCTCATGGGATGTGTGAATAATTCATTCCCCTGGAAGTTGGTGTGACAATGTAATTTGCCTCCTCGGGTGGCATTCTTATTGTGGACAGTTGTGAGGGGACAGGTCTCAACGGTGGATAATCTTCGACGTAAAGACTTCTACATAACCGAGTGGTGTTATATGTGCAAGAAGGATGGGGAGACGATCGATCATTTGTTTATTCATTGTGATGGTGTACGTTGGATTTGGAACAGTATACTTGGTTCTCAATTTATGGATTGGGTGATGCCTCGTCTTATAGAAGATGTGATAAGGGCATGGCGGAGAAAACTTCGTGATAAAAATAACAAACTAACATGGCACCTTATCCCGGGTTGCATTGTATGGTGCGTGTGGAGAGAAAGGAACAATCGATGCTTCGAAGACCAAACAAAGAGAAGAGAGCAGATAAGAGACATTTTACTTTACTTTGTATTCTTGGTTTAATGCTGTGGCTAGAAATTCTGTAAACGAGTTGCCTAATTTCATGTTGTTCCTTAATGGTTTAAAGTGATTGTACACCCCCCCTATATTTCCTTTTAAGTAATAAAATTATCTGATTACCTATAAATAAATAAAAATAATAATAATAATAATAAAATAAACTATTGTCCATCAACTGTTCCACATTTTTGTCATGCTCCATGTATATCTTTATCACAGGTCATTGCAACAATACTTGAAGGTGTTTCTTTTGAATCTGCGTTCGACTTGCAGAAGGTTTTGAAAGTTAGCACATACACTTCAAAGGCCAGTGCGCTTTATAAGCTAAAAGCAATGCTTCCAGTTTTCCGAAGTCGTCTAGGAGCATTGCTTTTTCTAATATCTGCATTACTGTCACGAGGGCTGGTATGTTATAACTCTATTATGATTGCATATCATATGTGCCATTGCTTAATGTATTATTTATCTAGGATTGTTATTTGAACATTAAGAAGCAGAGATAAAACATCCAGGTGTGGATATCTTTATATATGACGTATCAATGCCGAGCCATATGTCCATCAAACGAGAATATTTAACCAAAATTTTTTTCTCGACTTTGTACCTAGGGAGGCTTTGTATTTGTCATATGTGGAAATGGCTTTTCTGGGTACTAAAAGCAGTTAAGTTGCTCCTATGGAAAAATCTAAGCATTTCCACTGTCTTGTAAGCTAATCTGAGCAAAGTTTGAAATTAAACGTAGGGAAATGCCACACAAACAGGGGCCTGCCACATCAGCCCTTGATCTGAAAATTCAAATTTCAGATGGGCCTGTTTGAGCATCAAAATTCTTAAACATAACATAACACACACCTAAAACTGTATATATTCATTGACATTTTGATTTGTCCATCACGTGTCGTACATTTATAGTGCCTTATTTACCATGTAGGACAATGTTCAAGCTGACAGGGATGATCCAAGTCTACCGTTGGTAACTGCTCCATTTGGGCATGCTTCACAGGTATTCACAAGGCGATGAATATTTCCTTTTTTTTTTTTGATGATTTTTATAGATGCTGGTCCTTTTACAGATGCTTTTTACACGTATCTCGTTATTTGGGACCTTATTATGGACATGCTTGGTAAATGACCAGGGCTGATCTATAACCTTCAATTTTTATTTTTATTTTTTCAAATAGGAAATCGTAAACCTACTGCTTTCTGGGAGTGCTGTTGCCAATGTGTTTGACGGGAAGATGGATTTCGGTGGTGGCATGTTTGTGAAAGGCATATCAACAACAGTGGAAGTTGGATTTCTCACTTTGCTCGAGTCTCTCAATTATTGCAAGGTTGGGCAGTATCTGAAATGCCCAAGGTGGCCAATATGGGTTGTTGGTAGTGAATCTCATTATACAGTCTTATTTGCTCTTGATACCAAAGTCCAGGATGAGAATCAACTTGAAAGTAGAGAAGCACAGATCCGAAGAGCTTTTGATGTCCAGGATCGAAGTGGAGGTGGCGGGTTCATTAGTGTGGAAGGTTTCCATCAAGTCCTCAAGGAAACGAGCATTGACCTTCCATCTGAGAAGCTTGAGCATCTTTGCAGCACGGGGTTTATCGTATGGAGTGAATTTTGGCAGGTTCTTCTGGATTTAGACGAGAGTTTAGGAGGCCTAAAGGATTCGACTGGATTAATGGGAAAGAAGGTGTTTGATCTTTACCACTTCAACGGTATTGCAAAATCAGTTGCTAATGGTAGCCAGGCTACATCTGGACATGAAAATCCAATCCAAAGACCTCGGCTGACAAAGTTGAGGGTTTCAGTTCCCCCCAAGTGGACATCTGAGGAATTCATGGCAAATGTATCGGTTCCATCTGGCTCGAGTAAAAATGAATCTGATGAAAAAGAGAAATCAGTCGAAGTATCTAAACCAGACCCTGCTCAACGTGCACCTTTGGTTGATTGCATTAGAACGCGATGGCCACGTGCAACTTGCAGTTGGGAAGGTGATGCACCTAGTATTGTTTGATTGTCTAGTTAAGTTTCCCAATCTGTGACTGCGCTCTCTATTGAGGTTAGAGCTTTCCGGGGAGTGAAAGAAGAGGTCTTCTCTGCATTTTCCCATCTGAAATGTGGGCTGCAGAGTTAATAACTGCTATACATGACGTTTACAGTGTAATTCAGTGTGTAGTTCAACAGAATTCTGAAACGAGTGTATTATGGTGTTGAAAATGTTATCGTTATTCAAACCTGTAGAATACATGTAGTTGTTTGCTAGGCATGAGGATTTCAATCACACATCATAGGTTTTGACTTGTTGCTGTAACTAAGGTCGCCTTTGTACTCGTTATTTGTTGTTGATCAGCCAAGTTTTCTCTAAGAAGTTTTTGATGAACATCACATTGTCTCTATTCTAATAACCCTTTATTTCACTCAAACCGTAATCCAGTATGTTGAATACCCAGAAAATTAAACCACAGATGATAATTGTATAGCGCTATGCTCTTGGAGGGATCCATCCAAGATTTTAAGCCCAGATATTATTTGGTACAATTAAACATCTCAATATTTTCTCATTGTAGCAATTATTATTTTTTTAACGTTTTTTCGTCGAATTTTTATCTTCAACATTCCATTAATTAGTGCGTCTCAAAATATTTTATTTTCACGCCTTGAAATTAGGGGAAGTATATTTTTCGCACTTTTTATTTATATACCTTCTAAGAATATGATGGAAAAAATTGTTTTACTCCATTTTAACAGATTTTTGGACATAAAATTGTTATCAAATACAAAATTTGTTAACTAATGAAAAATTGAGGATAAGAATTATGTGAAAATTTGTTAAGAATATAAGTGCTAAAATGAGCAAAAATTAAAAACTTTTTAAGTCCAATGACAATATGGGGCAAAAAATGAAAATTGTGGTGTGAATATAATTACCCTTAGAAATTATCACAAAAAAATGATAAAAGTCTGTGATACCCTTTTATTAATTTGAATTACTTGCACACATTTCTTCTGGCCATCATATTCTTAAAGGACATATTTGGAAATGGTGATACTTTAGTGGAAAGGCAAACAAAAGTAACAGTTACAATGGGCCCTACTTTTGAGTTGCCCAATGGTCATAAAATGACTTTAAATCTTAGGAAAACCCTTCGAAACAGGTGCCTAATAAAATTATTTGAAATAAATTAACAGAAAAAGAAATACAACCTTCTACCCGTTGGCGTACGACGTCGTTCGTTTAAATCAACCTGAATGCTGTAACTGAACCTGAACGGCACAAACTTTTGAAATTTGAATGGACCTATTTCTCTTACAACGTCGTTTAGAACGGCTAGAAACAAAAAAAGAGAGCCGTTACCGCCTTAACAATTTTGAATTCTCAACGGCCCATTTTTGAATTTGTCAGTAACGTAATCAATTTTTATATACTCGTGTTCCTACAACGAGTAGCATCTCAATTCAAGAAATACAATTTCTCTATTTCTAATCCCCACAGAAAAGAAAAAAAGAAAATGGATAATACATCCGACAAGGACAAATCTACGTTGAGGGACATGGAAAAAAGCTTCGAGATGCATAAAGAATCTATCAAGAGGGAGACAAAGGAACTCTCTGAAACTTGCGGCGTCAAGGCTTGTGCTGTCATCGTTGGGCCTGATGGGATGGTCGACACATGGCCAGAAAATCGTAATGATGTGCAGGAGGTGATCAAAATGTACGAAAACTTTGATCCGGAAAGTAAACGGACTCAAGAACTTGATCGTGAGAAAAATAAGGTAAATATTTGTGCTGTCTCTGATGGGATGAAGACTATTAACAAACAAGAATTGCTAAGTAGGATCGATGCCAAATTAGCCCAAGTAAGGGAACGCATTCAGATCTTGAAGTCCAAAGATCAGGGTTGTAATCAAGATGAATCTGGATGAAAGATAGTGTCACAGGTTTCATTTTATTTTTGAGTGACCGAGTCAGTAACAGGTAGTAATAGTGGAAGGGGTATGTAACTTTTCCCTATTTAAAGGGATTCTCTGTTATTTAGAGACAAGATGTGCTCCTTTAGATGGCTTTATATTATATCGTATTTAAAGTCTAAGCAAGAAATTAATGGAGGAATGAATTATTTCTACTATATTTGAGTTGTTTTGGATGTTTTAGGTTTCTCGAAAACCATCTATAGAGGTCAATACTTCCTCGAACAAAAACATTAAACCATGAAATTCCTAAAATAAATACAGTAAAGCAATCCTATCAGACGGTTACTCCCAGCATACATTTGGAGTAACTTGGATGCAAAATTTTAGACATTGACAAACAAAAAAATAACGACGTGACTCAACAAGCTCAAGCTCAATTAGCTACGAAGCACAACCTGTGAACAATTTTGGGACCTGATTTATTGTATTCGCTCTTTGAGATCCACATCTGCACAAGGGAACAAATCGTAGCAGAGACTATCAAGCATCAAGACATGTGATAAGAAATCCAGTGTTTCACTGATATTTCATAATAGCCATCCTGAAATCAAGTTGATTTTATACATTACACATTGTTGCAAACTGTTAAAGAGTTGAAGAAGACGCATTCCTTGTTCTAATTTTTACAATAAAATTTCTCAGCATGAATGGTAACAGATTTGGGAATGATGTCATGATGATGATGATGATTATTATTATTATTATCATTTATTTATTTATTTTTGTGTGTGCGTGGGTGGTGGTGGAAGCCGGGAGAAAATAATTCGGATCACCTGTGCAACACTGTACTTCTTCCTCTCAGCTAGGTCACCACCTTAATCTTCATGCTACTCACATCTCATAATGGAGCAATATGTCGTTTCACGTCGCGAACAATTTCCCGTTCGGCAGATGCGGCAAACGGGTAACCTCTCTCGGTCAGAATTTTCATGAGATAATCGGTGAGATCACGACCAGCAAGATCCAACTGTAAAATGGCATAAATAGGAACACTGTGGCTTACACCGTCACCAGAGTCGAGCACAAATAATCATATTGTTAGTGAAGTCCACGATTTAGCCTCACGGCTTAAAAATTCAATTTCCTCGAAATTCATTTTAATCACATTCACCCAATAAAATAATTTTATATATAAACTTAAAATTTTTCCCTACTACACATTCTAAAAAAATTCACTGTTATAAAATCTATTTTTAAAAAAAAAGAAAAAAGGGAAACTAGTGTCAAGTCAACCCGAAATTACCTTCTCACGCTTATTTACTTTGTTTGATTTGATCCTCCAATGTCAATTCGAGAAAAAATGATAATATTAGTCGTCGTGGTTGAAATCAAATTTTGGGGAAAAATGTATAGTGTATAAATAAAATAAGGAAATATTGTCCGTTAGTTAAATTGGTAACTAACGGATTCACATATGATTAGACCAAGGTTTTAAAATGCGTAATGCTTGACAATGCGTCGCTGTCGAGCATTGTCAAGCATTAAGCACTATAAGTGTATGCATGCCTGCGTGAGACATGTGTTTTGCAATTTTAAATTTTATTTTGAGTATTTTTAACTAATAAATAAATAAAATAATCGATTCTTTGAAATTTTAAACATATTCTTCAAATTTAAAATAAAAAAAAATAAATAAATAAATTCTTATGCTCAAAATCATAAATAGGGTAATTGGCACAAAACATCCATACCTTTCATTTTTTTGACATTTTTATCCATATTTTCACCTTTCTTTGCGCTAAACGTTATTTTTACAATTTTTGACGTAAAATAACCAAAATACCCTTCTATTTAAACAAAAAAAAGAAGAAGAAATAATTACAACTATAAGCCCAAACTTTTCACATGTGCAAATCAACCCAAATCTTCCAGTTCCACATCTCACCCCCCACTCCCATTTCACCGTTGGTCAAAAATCCTAAATTGCTTCGTTTGAATGGTGAATTACAGCAATTGATTCACTACCTAGAGTCGTTACACTTTGAATTGTATTCTAGTTGGAGCAATTTGTTGATTGTAGATGTGGAGAAACACCAATTGAGATGTGATCGAAGGATTTTGCGTTTTCTCTGTTTTTGAATGAACTGCCATGTCCAGGCAAAATTTGGGAAGACCCATATGCTCATTGGATGCGTCATGAGGAGTAGGTACTTGAGGTGGTGGTCCGCGATCATGGGTCCCACCATCGGGGCTGAAAAATTTGCCTGAAAACAGCGAAATGGTTGGGTTCGAAGCTACGGCCTGTTTGGTTTGATTATATGAATTAAATCACATTTGAGGACCATGGACAGGGACGTCTTGGTGTGTATATTTGATTGGAATGTTGAGAATGGCATAAGTCTTGTTGGAACAGGTGGTGCCACGCCTTATTTGCATTTGCGAGTTCGATATTTTGGCTTGCAATTTCTACCAAATCTGTTGGCATGGTAATTGGATGTTGGATGGTATGTGTAGAGGGGAGTGAGGGCTATCTGGCGGTATGGAGGCCCGATGGTTTTGACGGTGGTTGGCCGGAGTTTCTTGGCTTCAAAATGGTGGTCGATTTAAAGTGGTTTAGTGACCTTTTATTTTCCCCCCAATTTTGGGCTTATAGTTGCAATTTCATTCTTTTCTTTTCTTTTCTTTTTTGTTTTGTTTAAATAGAAGAGAAATTTGGTCATTTTACGTCAAAAAATGATAAAAATGACGTTTAGCTCAAAGAAATCTGGAACAAGGGGCAAAAATGTCAAAAAATAAAAAGTATGGATATTTTTCACAATAAATTTAAAAGATAGGGACGTTTTGTACCAATTGCCCTCATAAATACTACAATTACTTGAACTTTTTGTATATACTCTTTAGATTTTCAATAAAAACATATTGCTCAAAATCATAAATACTACAATTACTTGATAATTGATTCCGAAAATTAGATTAAACACGAATACCAGCTTAAAAAAATCCTAAATATTGTCTAACTCTTGATTGATTCCAATTTAATCTCTTTTTCTTCATCCTAGTCATCCTTCATGTCATTCGATACAAAATCATTTTCATTGGACTCCTTATTTCAATTCAAGAATTTTATATTCCATCTTGTAGATGATAAGATATCAGAGTTAATCTCATCCTCAAAATCACCACCTTCAATAATTCAAGATTGTGCATTACTAGCATCACTTGCTGACAAAACTAGAGGAAAATCGAAGAAAAAGGAGGCTCAGGCTCGACATAGATAATTTTCAACTCCACGAAAAATTTGTTTTGTTTTTATATTTTTTAAAACGTCAAAATCATACAGATTGCTGTATATGAATTCATAGTTTTGGGTGATGTGGGCTAATTTGATGTTTATTAAGCTCATTTTTTTAAAGTTATAAAAATTGGTTAGATTTTTATAGACTAATTTTGACACAATTTTTAACACAAATTTTTGTGTATTTTGACGTTTAAGCCTGTATATACGGTCAACAAAATGAGTTGACCACATTACTTAAATATGAGGCGTTTCAAAAAGCATCGACATTTGCATGCATTTAGAAACACTTGATTAGACATTCCATTCACTAATTGAGTATTCATTTTTAATGTTAATTAACTTTATTGACTAATCGGGTCAAAAACATTTCAGTAACCAATTTTATAACATTAATTAACTTGACTGACTAAATGGACAAAAAATATACTTCAAAACAATATATTTAGATGAAAAACAAATGAGAAATGTTACATGTAAAATTGGGGTTCAATTTGGGTTGTCAACCTCAATTGTACAACTAGCAAAATTTAAAACAAATAGAATCATGTAATTACTTCAACTGCAAATAGTTAGTCCATACTTGCCTACCATTTATAATTTATTTATAAATGGAAATCATTCGTTTTTCATAATTAAGTTCTTGATATTATCTTATTTCTCTCAATGTCTAGTATAGCTTTATGTCTATCGACCCAATTTTGATATTGACTTGTCCAACTAAAATATTTATTCGAGGCGATGGTAAAATATTAATGTTCTATGAGTATTTAAGCGGAAGTCTATATAATTGACTTACAATTAAATGCAAATATGTAAACTATATAATTGTACACCAAATTTCATCAAACCATAAAATCACAAAGTATGATAACTGGTGACCACAACAATTTTAAATCGAAGTACAAAAAGTAAAATTTAGTTCTTTAAACATAAAAAGATCTTTAATAACCAATGACAAGGTTATGGCCATGGCCAGCCAGTTAATTTATATGCCCCTAGCACCAATCAACTTTGTTAAACCAAATGTTATGGCCATGGCCAGCCAGCCACCAATCAAAACCCTTGCAGCCGACCGGACCAACGGTGCCCTCCCTAACACCGCCCCTAACCACCCAAATACAACCAGAGCAAGGGTTACCGCTGCCACCACTACTCCAATTCTCACCTTGTACTCCTTAATAAATGATGCAGCCAATAATGGTACGATTGCACCCAAAGAAAATGCTAGGGCGGATGCTGCAGCAGCTTGTACCGGGTTCGGTAAACTCTCGTCGTTTTCTCCATCTTGTCCTTCTTCTTTCGTCATCTCTACGGAAACATCGCTTCTTTTCTCTCTATTCATTTGAGCCACTTCTATGTCGAGTTGCGAGTAAACGGATACGAATTCTCCGATAGCCATCGAACATGCTCCAGCCACTAAACCGGCAAAGCCGGTTAAGATCATGGCCTTGATGTCTTGTTTCACGGCTCCAACGCCCATCATCAACGACGCAGTGGAAACTAATCCGTCGTTAGCTCCCAAGACGGCCGCACGAAGCCATTGGGATCGTTTTGAGTAGTCGAACTCCTTTTCTTGTGGCTCAAGATTCATTTGTCTTTCCATTTCTTGGACGTGGAAAGGAAATTTTGTACCATGGATTGATTTTTGGTTAGAAGCCATGAAATGGACTGAACAAAAGAAGAGATTAAATTCTTGATTATGGAGGAAGTTGCAAGGCAAATGAGTGTGGTGGACACACGCCACTATCTAATGGCATTTATAGAGCAGAAAAAGTTCATTTCATCAGATTTTGAGGAATTTTAAGTCAGATGTCCTCAATCAAAATTTTATTATTTTAATAAATTTAATGAAATTTATTGAATCTATGTGCCCTCAACTAAAAATTTAATGAATTTCAACGAAATCATTTACAATTTAGGCATCTCAATAAATCATAGATTTATAAGGATTTTATTAATAGTTTGATTTTAAAATATTTGGATGAATTTCATGTTTAAAATTACATACAACACACTCTTTTGAAATATCACAATTTTTAATGATATCTTATAAATTTTGTGGAAATCTATTCAAATTCACGATGTTCATTAAAACTTATAACCTTTTAAAATTCAACAAAACTTCAGTTGAGGACTCCTCGTACTAGTTTCGACAAAGTTTATAATTTAAATGAAATGATTTGGCAATTGACTAATGAATTATTCCCACAAGCTGTATATATATGGAAATGTTGTATGGAATTAAAATTATCGTCATATAATCTATTTTGCATACAGTTTCTAACATACCGAAAATGAAATTGGACAGAATGGCTTCATTGATACAAAAGGATATCAGAGTCGTGACACAATGTAATATGTCATCTACTTAAAAATACTTTTCTAAAACGTAAGTTAGAGACTTATTTTCAACACAGATTATTATTTTTTCATCAAATGCTTGACACGAGTTTACACCGTTAATGAGAGATACCGAAACTAGATCTCATGTCGTTTATCCACTTTGTATAATATTGAATTGCCTCATCTTCGATTGGGGGTACTACTTTAAGGTTGTTACACCGGATTAGAAGAGGATCATGAACAAAGTGTGATACTTCATATATAAAGACAAACTGTGGATAAGAAAGCCCTTCTCAATCTGATCTCTATGCTTAATTTACGTTCAATGATGGGAACAAAAACTATATTTCACTTTAGTCATCACGTAAAGTATTCTTACACTGCTTTTGACTTAAACGGAAAACGTTATTAAAGTCGTGTTTTGATTTTTGAAAAACGCCTTATAATTTCGACGAGCTTTTTATTTGGTGGTCGTCTTTTCAGCATCAAAGAAGCAAAGTTCCTAAAACAAACGACAAATCAATTTTGTGCTTTCAAGAATTCAATTCAATGATATCTTTCAAAATGTATGTAATTCTTCTCATTATACTTTGAGATTTCTTTAAATGTGACGATAGTTATAGTAAAAACAAGACACATCTTAGAAGAAGTTGGATGTAGTAAGTGCAGGTTTTTCCAGTTCAAATTGGTCAAGTATGTAAAGAGGACGAATTTATTATACATGGAAAATTATTATATTTATTGAAAACCCGTATAGTTCTTCATTTACCATATTTTTCACTCTTTAAATAGTATGGGATGTAGAAAAGGGGGGGAAAGGGAAGAGAAATTATACTTTTCTTCATATTTCGTCGATCTAGTTATTGTTTAGTGGGTTTTGGTGTGGTTTGGGAGTACGAAATATTGTGTAATTATTACGATTTTTCAAATAGTAAAATATCCATCTTTTACTTTTCTTCAATTGTGATATTTTGCACGTAAAATCTTGTATCATACTTGTCATTATTCTCTATTTTAGTTTCTCTACTCATCTAGTATTCTTGAAATTCTTTAAAGGAAGACTCGAGAGTGATTCCAAAAACAAACCCAAATTCTCAACATACACGCTACATTAATGTAAATAGGCCCAGACAATGTGACATACTACGACTATGACTAAGAATAAGTACCAACGTGCGACGATTTTCCTATTAAAGAAAGATGATAATTTGTTATCAACAAATTGAGAATTGGATTGCTGAAGAGGAGAGCACTAAAGCAAAGTTGAGAAGGGATGAGTGCGAATGAGATGATATTTGTAAATGGGAGGGAGTGTGGATTCCACAAGAATGCCACCAACTTTTATTATTATCTTATTGTAGTTTTCAATTATGGGTTCTTTTATTCTCCTTTTATTTCAACTTTTCATTTGAGAATGAAATGAAATTGATGCCTTGGGCCTACCACTTAAAGCAAAATTATCATTACGTTCAAGTATTCTTTGCTTATAATACTAATATAGTGGTGGAAAAGAATAATTACAAAATTTTAATTTGTTAAAAAAGACATGAGGACTTATTTTAAAAGATTCATTAAATTTCAAGATGAAAAATCAGTTTTTTTTTTCGTTACATAACTTTCTTCTTATTTAAAAGCTTGACAAAATGTAAATTTATCATCGTTAAAGATATTCTTTTGGTCAAATTGTTGGGGACAACTTAATTCCCTAACGAGGACATGAAATCAATTCGTGTAAACATTTTCTTATTTTATAACTTCTTATCATAGTTACTCTTAAAATGAATTTCACGTATATATTCCGTACATCCACTTTATTCGAAACTACGTCATGGTTAAAAATTTGAAAATTAAGGAAGAAAAATTCTTCATCTATCAATAAAATAGCACAAAAAACGTAAAATTGACTAAAGAAATTAGATATCAGTCAAGTACTATTCAAAGAAAAAAGGTCCCCAAAAGAAATGGTTCCATACGATATTGGATCTTTCTTTTAAAGTCACGTCACAACCAAATTTTATCCACTTTTGCAAACTATGAAAGGAACTTATCAAGATAGACAATGGAGTGTTGCTATCACTATTCAATAGCATATAATGCAGATAATTTGTTGGAAAATGGCATGAATCTGAAGAATGAGTTGCCAAACCAAACAAATAAAACATAAATACTGTCTTGTCTTCCCTTTCCCTAGCATAAGAACAATAGTTATAAACTTATAATAATTGAATTTTTGTTGCCTATAGAAAACGAGATACCATGTAAACATTTTTGCGCTATTTATTCAAGTATTTAACGCTACAAAGGCATTTGTTACCACATGACAATAATTTTAGTATATTCGTGAACTCGATTACATCACTGATCTCGAGAACAAGAATTTTTTTAGGTCTACCAAAACATATCCGACCCTACAACCTAAGTGACCATCCCTTTAGTTCATCTTTAGTCGATCATCTTTAGTTATTGTGCGCTCGATCTTTTTTCTTTTGTTTTACATTCTAGTAATAGATATACACCCATGTTGACTCCATCATTTTTGTTAGTCTTATCTTATGGACACATTGTCCTCAAACAACCCCACACTTGATAACATATAGCATATAAACTTTGTAAATATCTTTTTATCACGTGAAATCCATATAAATCTTTTATAAAAGGGGTAATAGGCATAAGATGCCCATACTGTAGCGAAATGTCATAGATCATGCTAGTTAATGAAAGTTTTGGATAAGAATATGATGAAAATCGTTGAGGAAATAAAAATGACAATAAGTAAAGATTATGAACTTTTTATGCAATTAAAATGTAGTGCTTTAGTTATAAAAAATGTGATGTGAATAACTAAATGTATATGCCTAGTTAATTAGCTCCATAAAATGGAATAACATTTTTGGAAAATATTGTCCTAATCAATATTTTTAATTTCCATATTCACCCTTGATCATTTAGTATTAAATACATTAATAATTTAATTCATTTATTTGGTACACATTTGGAAAATTAACTATTTATTTGGTTTGTAGTGATGTCATAATCTTTCATATTTCTTTTGGTTACTTTTATAAGTTTTCCGCTTCCACTATCCGTCATTCTCTTCCGGCAGCGTGAATCCCAGAACACGGGTATGGTCTCATGGAGCCTAATAATAAACAATAAAGCTTCTTATACACCATAGTGTACAGCCCTCTCACAATTGAACTCGGGTTAATGGCCTAATAATAAACAAAACTTCTTGTACACCATGGTGTATAGTGTGAGAGGGCCCACATGAATATTATATTTGTGGACCCCCCTTATTGTGAGATGGGTGTACAGTAATAAGTGTTGTATATCTAGCACAACTGAATAATAAATAAACATGAACAGATATTTATACTTGCCATTAAACCCTGTTTGGTGAATCTAAAAATTAAACTTTTTGTAGGTTTCAAAAAAAAAATTGATGAAATATGTGATTAAAAAGTTGTGAATTCCATAAAATATGTGGTTAAAATTAATTATTAACCTCGATTTAATACTCCTGTTGTATCATGCCATGCCATATGTTGTTTATTTTAATTAAATGTGTGGTTAAAAATAAGTTTGACGAAAAATGAATATTAAGAAGTTAGTATCTCACTAGTATCTCTATAAGATCTTTTTCAATATATATTAGTATGAACACAAATTGCCCAAATATTGGACTAATATTTTGACGCCCCAATAAAATTCGTTTAATGCAATACTTAGAACAAATGACACCAATAAATTAATCTAGACCACTTGTAAGGATTGAATTGAATAAGATAGACAAGAAATAAAAACTTCATAAATTTTCCATATAAAATCATGCTAGTTCAATCTTGAGTGGGTCACACATCATTCAAAAACATGTTATTACGGATATACAGCAAGGGCAAATTTGATAGACAACGATGAAGAAGATTTTATAGATTGTGGATCAAATTTAACTATTTAAGTTTATTCTTCTTTCTTGATATTTGATGTTTTCAAATCTAATTTAATGAAAATTCTACAATAAGTTGAGTGAGATATTTTTCTTAGCAAGAATACTGTTTACGAGTTTTCTGCCTGAATTGTAATCGAAATGATTAATTCAAGAATTAAATGAAACATAGTGTAAAGAACTGAAGAAAGTTATTTTTCACCAAAAGAGAGTATAAATTTTTGTGCAAAATAATATAATAAAAATGCATGTGATATTTTACCTGATTTCTATAACTCCTGTCCCTTGATGAGACGCTGAGATTCCTTCTTCACAGACAAGTAGGTTGCTGGCAGTCGACAGACACGAGATTTAGACGAAGAAGAGTTATTCTTGGGTGACAACGTCTAGGGGTTGTCATAGTGGCTTTTGTCGATATAGAGCCGGTGCTTCATTAAC